AGAGAGCAGCTTGTTATCAGTTCGGTCAGAGTTTGTCAGATCAGTCACTGAACCTGTTCTGAACCAGCTGCTAGATAAACTTCTAGAACGGGGAATTATAAATCAAGAAGAAATGGATTCAGCCAGAACCAGCAGCAGGGCTGACAATGCTCGAACTGTGATTGACATGGTACGAAACAAAGGAACAACACAAGCCAGTTCCTCCCTGATTGAGGACTTGAGGACATTGGATCCAACCCTTTCCAACAAGCTGAAGTTGAGCTGAAGAAGAAATGAGACTCCTGGACTGGATCAGTTTGATCTAACTGGTAATTACGATTTTACGAATACATGTAAACAACTTTGTGTAGAGCAGCATTTTCCTGGGGACATTCAGAGAGTTGAGGTTCTCTTGCAGGGTGTTTTGTTAAAGCCGACTTACAACAATACCAGTTGAAACTTTCTTTCTTTTTTTATTTTTTTTACTTTTTATTATAATTATTCTTTTCTATTATTGAAAAATGTAACCATACATTAAAAACTCAAATGTGGAGCTATTTTACGGCTAACAACACAAGGCGATACCTCAGTGTTTTACAGGATTTGGTTAAAAAGCTACAATCAGGGCTTCCATAAAAGCATAAAAACTATGCCTATGCAGGTGACCTCTGAGAGCATCTCTCAAGTGTTTCAAAATCTGTACACAACGTTTCCTACCCAACAGCACGGTGCGTGAAAGATGAAGTTTAATAAGGGCGATCAGATTATCCAAGCTCAGAGGTGCGTTTGATAAAAAATATGAACAGAGTTTTACAAACAAAGTGTTTACGGTGGAGGATGGCATTCCTCGTACTCATCCCAAGTACAAACTCCAAGATTGTGAGAGAGAGCCTATCGAGGGCTCCTTTTATGCGGCCGAGTTGCAAAAAGTAATCTTGGCTAAAGACAGGAAGTATTATGTAGAAGAAATATTGAAACGACGTACCATCAAGGGTGAAAAACAGGTTTTGGAACGGTGGAAAAACTGACCCGAGAAATTGAATAGCTGCTAACACCAGCTCGAATTACATGGTGGATCTGGAAAAGGCTATTGAACTGAACGGAGAATGGGTGGTGGGTCCGTGTGAAAACATTAACCTCATTTTTAAAACCATTTTTGTAAAACCATATGCAACAACAAACATCACTTTCTCCTAATTTTCTGTGTGATTTTAATATTTAACTGTAGATTGTTTCTGTCTCATGTTGAGCAGGGAAGGTTTAATCTGTGAACAAACAGATCTTGTGTGGTTGACACTGATGGGTCATTCCTCATTCACTCATTTCAATACAAAAGATTCAGTCTGTTTGCAAAGATGGTAGCTGGAAATCTCCTCACTCAGTTAGACATACACTTTTTATTATTAGTTATATTTCTCTGTTAATGTAAGTTTCAAACACACGTTTACAGTTTAAAGAGTATGAATTTGGTGTTGTGGTCTTTATCCTTATTAAGCTGAATCATAACTGCACAAAATTATATGACAGTCATCAACTACAAATAAAGGTCCTGCTTTTAAAATCTGAATTAAAACTACAGAAGAATCATAAGTAACATGCAGTTAAAGTAAAAGTATCATTATGCTGCAGAATGAGCCATCAGTGTCATATTAATATCTGTTTTATTACGGCAACTTTAGCAGTGAATTATGTTTCATGAACTCATTGTAGGGTTTGGATATTAAATGTAATCTGTTATAAAGTCAGATAATAATCATACAGTCACTGAAGTGTGAAAAGAATATAGTGAAAAAGCTTTAATAATACAGATGTGTTTTCTCCATATAGATTATTGTCCTTGTTACAGATCACTGAGTGCATCATACACAGAATAACATCAGTACAGAAACATCGGCCCAGTGTGTTTGTCCTTCAGTGAGCTGTAGATGCAGGAACCTTTGCACATTGCAAATATCATTATATGTCCCACTGTTCAGCTCTTTACTCATTTATTGAAATATCCGGCCATATTGTACATATTCTCTCCCTTTTTATATTTCCATATATCGGCTGCTTTCTCTATTTTTATCTTTATTTGTATTTTTCTATGTTTAATTGTTAAGCACTAACTGATCAGATTCTTTGTATGTGAAAACCTGATTCTGATGAAAATGAATGTGTGCTGCTGTAAGACTGTCAAACAACAGCCAGTACAATAAAAAACAACATGAAAACTTTGCCTGATGATAAAAATATCCCCACTGTAAATCATAATTCTGAGATAAAAAATCGAAAGTTATGAGATTAAAAAGTAAAACTGATGAGGATAAAGTTGAAATACTCCGTACTATTAAATATTGAATCTGTAGTTTTCAGACTAATATTTGTTTCGGCCATAATAAGTCAGTGATGATATAAATGTAGTTTGGATGTGTTGTTGAATTGATGCTCAGTAGTGTTCAGGTACATTTGATAACATGCAGCCTTCATAAAGTCTACCTGGGAGGCTCCACTCTCCTCTCACACACAGCCGTTACCGCGGTCCGCGCAGGCGCACTGTGAGTCCGCGCAGGCGCACTGTGAGTCTGCTCGTCCTCTCGAACGTTCGATGGAAGAAAAACGGCGCGAAACGAACCGACAAATAAACCGTCGATCGGCAGTTTGCGAAGAGGAAGAAAGGACGCGGACGGGAGGAAGTCGTGTTTTATTACAGGAAAGTTCAGGAAAGTTTGACTCCGACAAACTCAGGACGCTTTGTGACCAGCTAGCTGTTAGCTAACGGTCTTTCAGTGAACTCTGTTTGTGCTGATGAATTAATTTTAGACCATAAAGAGAGTAAATAGTTCTTATCGTTAACTTATTACAGCTGTTAGCTACCTTAACTCCAGTACGGTAGCATGCTATGGTAGGTTAGCTAGTTAGCTAACCCGTAATGAACATTTATTAAATGTATTGTTTAGTTAGCTTTAGTTAGCTGTTAGCTCGGGCTGTACACTATGAAAACAACACTGAGTGTTACAGAGTACGTCTATATGACTCTATACTCACTGGGTTATATTTTATATTATATATATAACATATAACATATATACAATATAACATATATATATGTTATATGTTATATATGTTATATTGTTATATAGTATATGTTATATATATGTTATATTATATATATGTTATATTGTTACACAAACACTCAGTGGTTTTATCTATTTAAGCAGAAAGCCTCAAGAGCTCCGTTTACAGTGATTTTAGGAGGCTAACAACGACTCTTAGCTGGCATTATGTAATCTTTGTTTTAGCGTGGGACTGCGATAACTTCGGTAGCGTCGTTAGCTTTATCATCAAAAGCTAACAGCTGGCTGCGTGGAAGGATGCCACAACAACTGGAGGAAGAACAACGAGTTTGTAAACCAGGAATATTTTGAACATCGTCCTCTGACCCGCTCACAACGGCGACCAACCCCCTTTAAAGATCCTGGGCTACGAGGTAAGTTAGCTAACGTTAGCCACCATTCAGAAACCTCACCCATGTGTTTCTGCTGTATGTAAATTCACTTGATAGACGCCAATGGAGGTAACGATACAGCTGCATGGGAAACAGAAAATATTAAACTGCAGGAATTTATTTGCTTGTTTAACTTTGATTAGCATCCAGCAGCTAGCTAGTTAGCTCAGACCATGAATCTTTAATGTGAGAAGCCCTGCTGGACGGTGAGACCCAGGCTAATGAAAGCTTTCTGATCCACAGATAAAGTCCACTTATTACTGTAATATTAATGACTTATTACTGACGTTAACAGTGCAGTGTAACATCTCCTGCTCATATAGTCCCTCACTGTATTAAAACAGGTGGAAAATGTGGCTTTTTGAACTTGAACTGTCTTTAAGAGCTTTTAGTTTGTCACAACAGGAGTAAATGTGATCGAGTTCGGACTGAAATTAAACTTTTAAATGTTTTATCTTGTGACACGTTTTCTAAAAAAGATGTAAAAGTCGCTACAAAATCCAACCAAACCGCAGTAAGTGCAGCTGCTCCCTCAGTGTCTGTAAGTCCTGTAATCTTGTCCTAGAAATAGCGACAGGATGAGTTATTACCAAGTGTGAACCTTTAGTGACGTCACCCATTAGTTTAGTTTGTGCTGTTTGAATCCCCAAATTCATTGTTGTGGTCGCCGCCATGCCAGTGTGAGCCAGTGGAGGTGAAGTACCCTCATTGTATGCACAGTGTTGATTTGTCCACAGCAGGAAACATTGTCAGCTTATTACAATAACAAGGTATTACTTTGGCAGCAGATTATTATTATTATTATTATTATTATTATTATTAATTATTGTGCTAGCTTTGTCTAGCTTAACAGGAAACAGTGTTACTGTGTTAGCTAGCAGGACAAGGTAAGATAAGATATTCCTTTATTGATCCTCTATGGGAGAAATTCCAGTTGAATGTAGTGCAAAAGCACAGAAGTGTAAAATATACCATAAAGAATAATTAAATAAAGATATTGTGACGATATAAGTGAAAATAAAAAGACTGTAATGAAGATATATGAACTATTTGCAGTAACATTGAAGCACTGTTTAACTAAACTGTACATGTGCAACTATTGCAAGGTCTGTTTAAAGTTCTTACCGCGACAAAGTACTAATGTGTTAGCTAGCTACAGGCCCAGGTATTACTTTGGTAGTGCTAGCTAGCTATTGTGGTAGCTAGCTGTTACTGAACATAGAGTTTGTATTCGGCCGATTAAACGCTGTAACGTTAGCTGTTAAGATAACTGTGGCTGATTGGAAAAACTAGAGTAGTTTGCTGGACCAACATTGCTAACAGTTCCACAGATAGTGAGTGGTGGTGTCTATAATGTCACTTTATTGATATTAAATGTTCATCTGCTGTTTTCTGTACGAGTCAGTAATTAAGTAATATTTGTTCTTAAAGTGTCCTGATCATGGTTGAGCTACGTTTGAGTCAAAACATTTTCTAAGCTGAGCTGCAAGAACAAAACTTTCCGCTCAAATCTTCAGATATTTTATTTCAAACGCCTCCTTTGGACAGTTGAGGACCGTTTGTGTTTATTTTGAAAGAACAACAACCAATCAATGACAGATCAACACTGGACCAACCAATGGTGTAACATCCTCCCTCAGTAAGTCACACACAGTTTACTGTTTATAGAGCCCCCCCCCACGTTCTGTTTTTCAGGGCTGGCTCACATTCTTTGCAGACCACACACTCCTTCTTAGATGCCAAATGGCCTTTAATTACGTGGGACTTGAAATGTTTCAGCACAGCATTTTCCTCTGCTTTGGTCCATGGTCTTCGTGTATTGGCTTTGCGCACTGAAAACAAACAAGATGACATAATTGTTTGTTAGTGTGGCTGACTACATTTGATGATGACCTTTCTCTATAGGCCTAGAAACTGCCGAAAGGTTACGCACTGGATATTATAAACTTGATATGTATTAAAATTCAACTTGATCATACCATTATGTACAGGAGTCCGTCAGCTTCAGGAGGTTCCATGTCTGAAAAATGTGTAACAGGAGAGCATAGTAGATGCATTTTATTAAATAGTATCTGTTGTTCAATTTTGTAATGCAATATATTGAACATTATTTACAGTTGGTTATTTTTACTGTAAATATGTTCGACATTATTGAGGACAAGAAACCTGGCCCAGAGAGCAGGTTCAATAAACACTCATTTCCAACATCAGTTAGCTCAGTGAAAGTAGAAATAGATCAGACAGGTTTAAATTGTATTGAAACCTCATATCCTGATCCAAGAAAAGTTTCAGGGTTCTAGTGATTTTCAGTCAAAAATGTGTCTTTAGATGTCTGTTTCATATTTATCTGCAGCCTTTAAAAGGATATGTTACGGCCATTTCCACTGTTCATCGTCTGCTAAAATAGATTTATATGCATCAATGTTCCAAAACGTCATTTTTTTTATTATACTGTACATTTTACATTGAACTCTAATCAGCCTCTGTCTGAAACAATTCGTTTCTCTTATCAGATCACACTTAAATCGGACCATTAACACACAGGTTGTATACAGTGTTGGGAGTAACGGCGTTTAAGTATAACGGCGTTACTAACAGCGTTATTTTTTCATTAACAGAGTAATCAAATTAATTACTTTTCCCATCGTTGCAACGCCGTTACCGTTACTGAGAATGTAAAGTGGCGCGTTACTTGCGTTACTACAGTTTGGTTGAATGAAGCGCAGCGGAGTCAGGCTTTCTGACAGCCACACATCAGCTGCCAGGAGAGGGCAGGGTGGTGATGATGACACTGTTGCAAATGCAATGATTGGCTGGGTGGGCGGATGCCCTGCTGTCTCACTGCACGCTGTCTCACTGCACGCTCTAACTACTACTATAAACACAAGACAGAGACAATGGCGACGAGCCAGGGAAATTCAATGGTAGGGTTTTCAAACTGGAAGTACCGACACTACTTCTCGCTTACTGAAGTTAAAGGCAAGAATGTTTATGTAACGTGCACTATGCCCAGGAAAAAACACTTTATCCACGTCTGCCTCAAGCAACTCAAATCTTATGAAGCACCTCACAGCAACACATGCTAACACGCCACGTTACCTTACGGAATATTTAAATGGGTAAATAAAAAAAAAGGACCCTCTGTTTTAATTCAGTAGACATATATTAATGCATGTTTATGCTGACTGTGCACATTTAATTATTGGTGGAATGTGACTGTTTGGGGCCACAGATACATTACATTTAAATAAATCTGTTCATCTTTAATGTAACAAACACAGGAGCAACTATAGGTGAAGATTTTAAAAATCAGACATGTAATATAACAGTCTGATCCAGTGAGGGGATTTACACTTGAAAAGAGATTAAAATACAGTAGATTTTAAATGTTAGAAATGTATTTGTGTATTTCAGATACTTCAACAAATGTAGTGGATTTAAACAGTGAAATGCTGTTAAACATTCAGACTGTGTAGTCTGAAAGAGATTTTAAATAAACCATATAGCCTACAGTCTGAAGGTGTTTAAATTGACTATATTAGTTAAAGTAGCTGAAATTAAGTCACTCAATGCTGTTGAGCCAATATCCAAATAATTATGTAAAATGTTTAATTTACTGTATTTTAACCTCAACGCCTTTCCTAGTGCTAATCACCAAACACATTACTGGATCAGACTGTGAGATTACAAACATGTCTCATGTCTTTGATCTATATATTTTTTAAATCTTCATCTCTGTTTCATCCTCAGTTGCTCCTAGTGTGGCCATTTCCTTCACATCAAAAAGGAGGACACTTTACATACACAGGGACACACAAGCAGATATTTGTTTGGTATGATCAGTTTTAAATTTTAATGTTTTTCCACCAGATTACATAAAGGTGCATACACATACCACATAGCTAATAATAAATATACAAGATACAGCTCATGACAATGTGCCCTTCCAATTCAGATTACATAGGTCTAATAAACATCATACAGAAACTGTTCTTAATGGTTTATCTGGATAGATAAAGATTAAGTTCTCTGTAGCTGAGAGCTTGATTGACAGCCTGGTGGTAGCAACTAGGCATGAGTCAACACATGGCTCATTTGAATATTAAAATTAGCCATGTGTTGATAGGTAACAATGTAACCAATGAAATGACTTATTGTGACACACATTTTTAAGTATTAAACTAACGAGATAATGTACATCAATCCAATCAGCCAGACCTGGTCTAAAATCGGTACAAAGCTCGTTTATATGCCCAAAATACAGCTAAAATAATAACTATAACCACAACTTCATATCAAACTTCATGAAGCAGCTCATAAACGATCATTCTTTTCCACTTCTTTGTAGTGAAAGTGTGTGCGCCACCGGTCCCTGTCTTTGTGCCAGACTTTGTTCTGAGTGGTCGTTAACGTTAACCGACTGCAGCTGCACCTTCTAATGCTGCGAGTGGGGATTGAACAGGTGACGACGTCGATGCAGCCCCGAGACTCAGGAAACAGAAATGTTTCAAAATAATAATAATAATAGCGAGACGAAATAACGTTATAACATTTCAGCTTTTGATATTAATGTAATGCCTAGTACTAGTAGGCGTAGGTTTATTATTCTTCCACTTAATAGTATATGTATTTGCTTTTACATCTGTATTGTACTCATATCTAATGACAATCACAAAAGCATCCGACCTAAAGGCTTCACAGCTCAATTTTACATGCAGTACCTTTTTGACGGTCGTGCTTTTATTTTGAAAACGTCGCCGAACCAACCATAGATATATATACTGAAACATGAGACCAGAAATAATAATAATTCTTTTGGGCGGTGGTGTTGACGTATGCTTAGAAGCCCAAGGCGACATCCAGTCAGTATATATATCTATGACACGCACACACAGTCATGTGATTTCTTGTAAATGCAGAGGGGAGGGTCCAGAAACATTAGAACAGGGAGGGAGAACCTTAAAGTGAAAGTGTTCAGTTGGTTCAGTCTCCATTTAGAGTGGACAGAGCAGGAGGAGGAGAACTGAAGGCTGAGGCAGGGTGAGTGTTCATACTACATTTTATTATCTTACTGTCAAAGTCTCTGAGTCAGTTTCTCCTGCAGACGGAAGAAATGTTTTAGATTGAAAGAAAACTGAGCAGTTGGAGTTTCAGCTGTTTTTTTTACTGTAATAAATAAAAATAACTGTGTGTGAGTGTGTGTGTGATTGGGTGGGTGTTTTCTCTTAATCTTGGGTGTGTCTCTCAAACAGACTTGTTGTTTTTCAGATTCTGTGCTCTGAGCTTACAGTCAGTGTTAATGTTTATTAATTCTCAGACTGACTTCAGATCAGAAGATGAGTGATCGTGTGGAGGAAGAGGAGGACAGAGTAGAGTCTCCAATGTCCAACTGTCTGTCTATGAAGAGTGATCGGTGTAAAGAAGATCCTCCATTATTCAGTTATGAACCTGGACCCTCAGACACACAGTAAGAGAACTGCTGTTAACTCTATTAATATATATAACTCTATTTTCAGTTTCTGTTGTTTTTGCATTCATATATTATACAAAATATATAAGTATATATTTATACAAAAAATTGTGACAAAAAGAGAAATCATCCATGCCATCTTCCTCTCAGTAACTGTGACTGTCAGTCAATTAGAAAAGCTGTAATCTAATCTAAAAGGACTAATACGAACTTTTAAATCTCCTAATTATCAACAGTAGCAGCAGTTTGTGTATTTAAAGTTTCCTAAATGATTTTTCATCAAAGAATTCATTCAGGATTCATGTGATATGAATAAAAACATGTTGGTGTTTGCAGAGAGATCAGAGAGAGATCAGAGTCTCCAGTGTCCAGCTGTCTGTCTATGAAGAGTGACCTGTCTAAAGTTGAACCTCCAATGTTCAGTAATGAACCTGGACCCTCAGACGCACAGTAAGACACTGTTTTCTGAGCTCATAGATGATGAGGCAGGTGCTGTTTCATACTAAGATGGATATTATTTTATTTCTTCAGCAAAATCATTTCAGAATTTAAACTTAAAGAAAATGTAAATGTTGCAACTAATTCTGAAAGAACATGCTTCAAACGTTTAATTCATTTTCTTACCTTTGTCCTCTAAAACTAAACTAAAAATATTTAGTTGTTTGGCTCTTCCTCAGATCAGCTGTTATGATCCACCAGATGTATCTTGAATCAGTTCATATCATAATTGTAGAAAAGCTTTACTCACCTTAGTCTGTCTGTTCAGTGGTTGAGTTTGCTCTTTAATAAAATACTTGTGTAAAATATGGTTAATACATAATCAGCTCTCATTAACTGTGAAGTAACTACAGGAAGTGTTGAGTTTGTATTAATACCGGACTACAGGCAGATCACTTAAGGTTGAATAAGACAGACAGATAAGAAAAACAGTTAATTATTGTGTTTATGAAAGTCATTGTCATTACAGACTGAATGCTGAATTCAAACAAAAAAATAACCACACTTTTTCTCTGTGACCATCTTAACTTTATATATACATCAGCAATCAACAAATCATTTTAGTTATAAAGAAATGTCTTCACAGAGAGAGGAAGAGGAGTCATGTGGAGGAGCAGCTGTCCTGCTGTGTTTTGTGTCAGGACGTCCTGAAGGATCCAGTCTCTACCAGCTGTGGACACTGGTTCTGCAGACAGTGCATCACCTCATACTGGGACCAGTCTGCTTCATCAGGAGACTCCTCCTGTCCCCAGTGTGGAAAAAGATCCAGAACAAGAGCTGGACTGCAGACAGCCAGTCAGACCAGAACTGTACAAAGTAAGACTGAACATCTGTCTGCTGATGTCCTCATGTCTGAAAACAGGACTTTATAATCTATTACAGGGACATTTGTTGTGTTATGCAGTGTATTTATTATTATCATGAATATCATGAATTCAGAAACATTTTTATTGATCCGGATTCTGGTTCTCAGTTTAGTCTCAGAATATGTTTCTTCTCTTCCAGCAGATGGTGGTCTGCAGGAAGTTTTAGATGAACATAAGATCAGTCTGAAGACGAGATGTAAACATGTGACTGAAGGACCTGATGGAAAAGGAAGTAGAACCCTCCTCAACAGGATCTACACTGAGCTCTACATCACAGAGAGACAGAGTGAAGAGGTTAATACCCAACATGAGGTGAGGCAGCTTGAGACAGCTTCCAAGAAGAAGATCCTCCATGACACTCCAATCAAGTGCCACGAGATCTTTAAAGCCTTACCTGACCAACAGAAACACATCAGAGTGGTTCTGACGAACGGCGTCGCTGGCATTGGAAAAACCTTCTCAGTGCAGAAGTTCACTCTGGACTGGGCAGAGGGTTTGGAAAACCAAGATGTCAGTCTGCTGGTTCTGCTTTCGTTCAGGGAGCTGAACCTGATCAAAGATGAGCAGTACAGTCTTCTGACGCTGCTCCATGTTTTCCATCCAACATTACAGAAGGTCACAGCAGAGCAGCTCGCTGTCTGTAAACTTTTGTTCATCTTTGATGGCCTGGATGAAAGCAGACTTTCACTGGATTTCCACAACAATGAGGTTGTGTCTGACGTCACACAGAAGTCTTCAGTCAACGTGCTGTTGACAAACCTCATCAAAGGGAATCTGCTTCCCTCGGCTCTCGTCTGGATAACTTCCAGACCTGCAGCAGCCAATCAGATCCCTCCTGAATGTGTTGACAGGGTAACAGAAGTACGAGGCTTCACTGATGCCCAGAAGGAGGAGTACTTCAGGAGGAGAGTCAGTGATGAAGATCTGTCCAGCAGAATCATCTCACACATCAAGACCTCCAGGAGCCTCCACATCATGTGTCTTATCCCAGTCTTCTGCTGGATCACTGTTACAGTTCTGATCCACATGTTGACTACAGACCAGAGAGGAGAGCTGCCCAAGACCCTGACTGACATGTACTCACACTTCCTGCTGGTTCAGACAAAGAGAAAGAAGCAGAAGTATGAAGAGGGACATGAAATGAGTCCACAGGAGCTGATGGAGGTTGACAGGGAAGTTCTTCTGAAGCTGGGGAGGCTGGCGTTTGAACAGCTGGAGAAAGGAAACATCATGTTCTACCAAGAAGACCTGGAGCAGTGTGGTCTTGATGTCACAGAGGCCTTGGTGTACTCAGGAGTTTGTACAGAGATCTTCAAAAGAGAGAGTGTGATCTTCCAGAAAACAGTCTACTGCTTCGTTCATCTGAGCATTCAGGAGTTTCTGGCTGCAGTCTACATGTTCCACTGTTACACCAACAAGAACACAGACGTACTGAAGGACTTCCTGGAAGATTATTATGACAATGACCATTACCTATCGCTAGATGACTTCCTGTATATCGCCATGGAGAAATCCCTTAAAAGTAAAAATGGCCACCTGGACCTGTTTGTTCGCTTCCTTCATGGCCTCTCTCTGGAGTCCAACCAGAGAATCTTAGGAGGCCTGCTGGGTCAGACAGACAACAGTCCAGGAACCATCCAGAAAGCCATCAACAACCTGAAGGAGATGAACAGTGATGATATCTCTCCTGACAGAAGCATCAACATCTTCCACTGTCTGACGGAGATGAACGACCACTCAGTCCATCAGGAGATCCAAGAGTTCCTGAAGTCAGAGAACAGATCAGAGAAGAAACTCTCTGAGATCCACTGCTCAGCTCTGGCCTACATGCTGCAGATGTCAGAGGAGGTTCTGGATGAGTTGGACCTGGAGAAGTACAACACATCATGGCAGGGACGACTGAGACTGATTCCAGCTGTGAAGAACTGCAGGAAGGCTGTGTAAGTGCATTAACAACATTATAAAGCAACATAAAGCCGAAGACATCAGTATTAAGGATACACTTTACACACATGCACAATATAAAACTTAGTTATCAAGTGATTGAACAGTATCTTCTATCATCTTCTAACTATCTATCTATGGTTAATGGAGGTTTGATACAAATCCAGAAAAAACCTGAAGACTGATCATTTTATCACAACAGTCTTTTTTAGGCTATACAGTGTACTAGGGCTGGGCGATATGGACATTTTTTTTATCACGATATGTTTTCCCATATTGATCGATCTCGATTCTTATCATGATATGTAGTTTTTGCAGATGTTGCCAGTGTGAGGGACATCCTTAACTTGAAGAAACAAGAGATTCACTGAAACGTTATAATAAAGTTTAATAACATAAAAAATTAAAGAATATGCCTTCCAATAATGAGCACAAAATGTTTTTGTTAAGGTCTTCATGCAGACAAAGGATTCACATTACACTCCCACATTGTATGAATCTTTCCATTGGTCAAGAGAGCAGCAGGGCAATCAACTGGCAAAAGAAAATTCAGAGCAGCGCTCTTTCGCTCATACAGAGTTTTATATGCTTTCAAACAAGTGCAAACTAGTAAGTGACTGGTCACTTTTCACTATATAGCGATGCTAATGGCAGACGTAGTGGTCTTGTTTGGCTGTGTGTGTGGTGTCGTGCCAGCTTGAGTTCGCAGAGTCACACTCTCAGTGTAATTACTGGGGTGGTGCTGTCTCGGGTGATGGAAAAGATTTGTTGTGTTCCCCGTCCTGGCTTGTACCAACCGCCGGCATATTTTGCAGACCGGCTTCGCCTACTCCTGGTCACTTTTGCCGTATCCAAACCACGTCCACCCAATTGACGTTGTGTTACCTTTTTTTCAACAATGTCTTCGGTCCCGGGTGATGTAGTGATGTCGCTTTCACGTTCGGCATTATTTTCGCTGTCCTCGACTTCAGTTTCGCTCATTTTTTCTCCTTTTTCCAACTTCTTTCCCCCTAACTGTAGCCACGCTGCTCACAATGGGAAGTGGGTGTGTCCTACCGGCATATGGCAGCTGGCAGACTCTGATACTGTTGTTGTTGCGCTTACTTTTTCATGTGATATCGAATAATATGTCCCAAGCTTATTATCGAAATCGATCAAAATTTTATCGCGAGATCGAACTATCGCCCAGCCCTAGTCTGCACGTCATGTTTATATCACGTGTCTGTTCATGGCTTTTGTGCAATTATTATTATATTTTTTTCTCAACAGTTTCTGACCTGTTTCATAGGAAGGACTGTTCCGTCTATTTTTACAATATCTATCATTGCTTGATTTGAGAAGATGTGAGGGGAGGCCATCCTCCCTCTTTCCATCTGGTCACCTTAATGTGAGAACTGAGACTAATTTACAAGCACAAACTGTCAGACAGTGTGTTTTATTCTGCACCATCTCACTACAATAACACTAAAGACAAGATATGCAGAGAAAATAGCAGCACACACTTCCACTGTGGTTTTCAGCTCATTACACAGTAAGCTCCTGGGACGGCCTCCAGCTTCATTCTGCCAGTGAAGGAGAGCTCAGTAGGTTCAGTTCAGTGGAGGGATTTTATCACCACCAAGCTCAGAGAAGAAATTATATTGTTCAACAGTTGAACTCCACTTAAGACAAACTATCAATAAAGTCATATTCGTACATAAACTATAATAATACAACCTTTAGTACCAATTATACTATGACTACAATAGTAGTAATTAAAAGCAGACTGAATGACATAATATCCATCAAAGATGCACAAAATACACACAAGCACATGACTGAGGTAAAAACATACGAGTGCAGTTTGAACCTACAGTGATTTTATAGCTCAGTGAACATCATGTTCAAATAAAGTTTAACAAACAAAAATCACAGCACCCTGTCAATCCAAATACAACACATGTTTACATTACAGTCATTGGGCAGACACTTTTGTCTAAAGTTTGTGGTTCATTATGTTGCTCAGGGACACGTTGACATGTGGACAGGACAAGCTCAAGTTTCAAACCACTAACCTTGTGATCAATGACTGACCGACCAGCTGAGCTACGGCCGCTCATGTTAATGAATGGGCGGCCGCTTAGTCTGCCCACTGCTCCTATGTAAATAGGATGGGCCAAGTTTCATTTCATGTAAAAGTGCTGTAAATGGTGTATATATACTGTGAATATGACAATAAAAAATACTTTTCTATTTTTCTTTCTAATGTTCTTTTTGAAGCAAAATGTCTCGTTTTGTAATCGTGTCAGCTTTTATTATACTTTAAGTTTTATATTCTCTGTCATCACAGACTTTCTTACTGTGGACTCTCAGAGACTCACTGTGAAGTTGTGGTCGCAGCTCTGAACTCCAACCCCTCCCATCTGAGAGAGCTGAACCTGAGTCTGAATGAGCTGGACGATTCAGGAGTGAAGCTGCTGTGTGCTGGACTGGAGAGTCCACACTGTAGACTGGAGACTCTGAGGTCAGTTCATGTTTTTTGGTCTTGTACAGTGTATGTCTACCAAATTTAAATCCATAACAGAAGTTGTAAATTAACTTCAGTTTTCTGGGTCTGTCTGTTTTAAACAGTGTTGGGCAAGTTACTTTTAAAAAGTTATTTGTTACAGTTACTAGTTACGTCTTCCAAAAGTAACTAAATTAGTTACTCAGTTACAAATTATAAAAGTAACTAGTTACTTCAGAAAGTAACTATTGCCTTACTTTCAAGTAAATTTTTAAATGCTCAAATGTGACCCCACCTCCACCCCTCTTTAACGGAACTTAAAATACATGTGCATGTTCAATTATTTATGATAAATCTGAATATTATAATGAAATGGACACTTAATACAATCCATTATTAACAGAAACAATGTACACAAATCCAAACTATTTTAATGTTGCTGTGGGACAAAGTGAGACTAGCCTCCAATCAAATGCCATGTATGTAGATATTATGTTTATAATAAAACATATATAATTATTTATCATTCAATTGTTATGCCAGGTGGAACCATAAGCAATAGGATCCAAATGACTTCAGAGACAAAATGGGTTGGTCCACAGAAGTCCAGGAAGTACAAGAAAAAAATCCAAAGTCCAAAAGTCCAAAAACAGACAGAAGTCCTAAGAAACAGAGGAAAAACACAACACAAGATGAACTGGCACACAGACAATATATAGTATAATATATATAGGTGAAGAAACTAATGAAATTTAATCAGAATGTATTTTTGTATTTGTATTTTTTATTAAAAAATACAAGTTTCAGGAATAACTTCTTTTTATATATAAGCTTCAGAACACAGTATTATACAGGAACTTATACATGTATACTTATACACTCTTTGTCTCATACACACACAAACACAGTCTAAAACTCACATACAGGAGCACAGAGACAGAGTGTGAAGCATACTTTTTAAAAATGCAGCTGAGTACAGTATCACGTCTGACCTGTGACCAGCAACAGGTGAAACATGAAACACGCTCCATTCAGAAAATGATGTGTCTTTGTGTTCTGAATCAACCAGTAAACAGGAGCATAAATAATACACTACATCTGTACAGGAAGGTACTAGGTTACATTTAAGATGAAGATAACATGCAGCTCTCTGTGCTCAGTTTGATCCAGTTATAAAGATGATGTGGTTTGTAAAGTTTTCTGTTGACTTAAATTACTTTTTATTTCATAAAATGTAATTTACTTCATATTGTCCATTTTGGAATCTGTCTCAGTATTTTTCATGAAATTACACATTATTGTTGTGAATTATAATAAAAAAAAAAGTAAAGTAACAAGATAAACATGATCGATTTGATAATAATTGTAGACTAGACTAAGATCAGCAGTTGTTATTGATCAGTGTTGACATGAATAGGTGTATGAATGTTGTTGCTGACATTTGGATGATGTCTGTAGAAGGCTGACATTACGATGATCCACAATAACACAATGACAAAGTCACTCTACTCATTTTAGAGAAAAGCTCAATGATTAGGACATAGTAATGTTGAGCTACACATTTAAAATGTATTTTCAACATTTATTCTTTATTCAGATTGAGTTGCTGCAGTTTGTCAGAAATCAGCTGTGATTATCTGGGCTCAGCTCTGAAGTCCAACCCCTCCCATCTGAGAGAGCTGAACCTGAGTCTCAATAAGCTGAAGGATTCAGGAGTGAAGCTGCTGTGTGGTTTTCTGGAGAGTCCACACTGTAGACTGGAGACTCTGAGGTCAGTTCACTGACTCTCTGTTACTGTTGTAGATCTGATATGTTTAATTAACAATTTCATCTAATTTATGTTCATACATAACTTACATCCATAAAGTTGTACATTTCAACATGTTCATATGTTCACATTGTTGTTGTTGTTGTTTAAACTAAATGTAATCTGCTTATTCTGTTTGTTAAAGAAACTGTCTATATTTGTAGTTTGTAAAGTTTTCTCTTTAGTTAAATTACTTCTTTCTTTTTTTTCCTATTGGCCATTTTAGAATTCTATAGAAAAAATTTGTCTTAATATTTTTCACAACATGACAAATTATTGTTATGAATTAGAAGAAACAGAAGAAGATGAAGGTAACAACAGTGTCTGATTTGATTATTCTCGACCTGACTGAGATCAGCAGCATGTTATTGATCAGTGTTGACATGAATAGGTGTATGAATGTTGTACTGACATTATGATGATCCACAATAACACAATGACAAAGTCACTCTACTCATTTTAGAGAAAAGCTCATTGATTAGGATATAGATTCAAGGGGTTTATTATCATATGTACAGTAAGAAATACAAGGTTTGTACGTACAATGAACATTTAAAACCTGAACACATCTGATTGGATTATAAATTATTTTTATTCATAATTTATTCATTATTCAGGTTCTGGAACGGCAGTTTGTCAGAGATCAGCTGTGATTATCTGGTCTCAGCTCTGAAGTCCAACCCCTCCCATCTGAGAGTGCTGGAGCTGAGAGACAACAACCTGAAGGATTCAGGAGTGAAGCTGCTGTGTGGTTTTCTGGAGAGTCCACACTGTAGACTGGAGAATCTGGGGTCAGTTCACTGACTCTCTGTTACTGTTGTAGATGTGATATGTTTCATTAACAATTGAACCTAATTTATGTTCATACATAACTTACATCCATAAAGTTGTAAATTTGCTTTTGATCATATTTTCATGTTTGTTGAACTAAATTTATTCTGCAGTCACAAAGACTTGTGTTTGTTAAAGAAACTGTAGAAAATGTCCACTGTTAGTTGTTAAAGTAAATGAATGTTTATAATTGTTGGTAAATGGTCACATCTGGATACAGAAGATCCTCTGAACTAATATTTGTTTTAAACTGATCAAGTTTACTGAAGGAGAAATATTTCTTTGGTTTCATTTTCATATACAACAGTTTAAAGGATCAATAGAGTATTGATCCTCTAATTACAGACCTGACTGAGATCAGCAGCATGTTATTGATCAGTGTTGACATGAATAGGTGTATGAATGTTGTGCTTACATTATGATGATGTCTGTAGAAGGCTGACATTATGATGATCCACAATAACACAATGACAAAGTCACTCTACTCATTTTAGAGAAAAGCTCATTGATTAGGACATAGATTTAAGATTCAAGAGGTTTATTATCATATGTACAGTAAGAAATACAAGGTTTGTACGTACAATGAAAGTCTTACTTTCATTGCCTGACTCCCTGAGGCAACACACAAGTAGAAGAGTAAAAATATAAAAAATATATATATAGAAAATATAACATATAACTTACAACTTAAAGTGCAGAACATTGTAGACCAGGGGTCACCAACCTTTTTGAAACTGAGGGCTACTTCATGGGTACTGAGTCATACGAAGGGCTACCAGTTTGATACACTCTACTGAAATAACACATTTGCTCAGTTTGCCTATTTTTATATATTATTATTGATTAATGATACTCATCTATGTGAAGACACTGATCATGTTAATGATTTCTCACAATAATAATCAACAATGACTTAACAAGGTGGGAAACAGATAATATCAATATAAAATTTTTAGAAGATGCCTGCAGGCGACTCATGTGGTCCTTGGGGGCGACCTGGTGCCCGTGGGCACCGTGTTGGTGACCCCTGTTGTAGAGTAACCAAAGAAACCTGACTGATAAGGTGCTCTTGCCTCACAGTTATACTTCAGGTGCCGAGTGACATCACATCACAGTGGGAGTGATTAAGTGTGGGGGAGGGTGGTGTGGTCTTACTGTTTAAGAGTCTGATGTCCTGGGTGTAGAAACTGTTAGTAATGACGGGCTACACATTTAAAACATTAACACATCTGGTTGGATTATAAATTATTTTATCTTCATCATTCATTCTTTATTCAGTTTGTGGTGCTGCAGGTTGTCAGAGATCAGCTGTGATTATCTGGTCTCAACTCTGAAGTCCAACCCCTCCCATCTGAGAGAGCTGGACCTGGGTTACAACAACCTGAAGGATTCAGGAGTGAAGCTGCTGTGTGGTTTTCTGGAGAGTCCACACTGTAGACTGGAGACTCTGAGGTCAGACACCATTTTTTCCTTCTGTGTTGAGATTAATATGATGTGAAAGTTGTGCAGGGGGGTATCAGGAAGCAAGTGAACATTTTGTCCTTAAAGTTGATGTGTTAGAAGCAAGTAAAATGGGCATTGTGGGGATTTGATCGACTTTGACAAGGGCCACATTGTGATGGGTAGATGACTGGGTCAGAGCATCTCCAAACCTGCAGCTCTTGTGGGGTATCCCCAGTCTGCAGTGGCCAGTGCCTATCAGAAAGTGGTCCATGGAAGGAAAGTAGTAAATCAGAGACAGGGTCAAATTGCGACAAAGGCTCATCGATGCATGTGGAGAGTGAAGGCTGGCCCAACAGATGAGCTACTGTAGCTCAAACTGCTGAAACAGTTAATGCTGGTTCTGATAGAAAGGGGTCAGAACACACAGTAAATCACCGTTTGTTGGACTACTATTGTGTCCAGGTGGTCATAATGTTATGGCTGATATACTGATCCACACTGAGTATCTTAATGCTAAAGTCTGTTTTCTTCTTCAGTGGTTTAGTCCATTGACTGTGGCAGAGCAACGTTGAGCTCCACATTTAAAACCTGAATATAACAAGAAGAATCTACACTGGATAATTCCCTCTGAACCTTTAAACTGTTCATTTAATCTTAAATTTTACCTTGTGTATTTTAGATAAATGAAATTACGTACTACAATTAAATAAATAAAGTCTATTTCACTGTCTACTCCGGGTAGGGAGTGAGTCCTTACCCCAAGTGAAGGAGTTCAAGTACCTCAGGGTTTTGTTCACGAATGAGGGTAGAATGGAGCAGGAGATTGGCCGGAGAATCGGGGCAGCAGGGGCGGTATTGCGGTCCCTTTATTGCACTGTTGTCACGAAAAGAGAGTTGAGCCGAAAGGCTTCTCCTTTGCATCGAAAGGAGCCAGCTTAAATGGTTCGGGCATCTGGTGAGGATGCCTCCAGGGTGCCTCCCGAGGGAGGTGTTCCTGGCACATCCAGCTGGGAGGAGGCCACGGGGCAGACCGAGGACCAGGTGGAGAGATTATATCTCAACACTGGCCTGGGAACGCCTCGGGATCCCCCAGTCAGAGTTGGCCGATGTGGCCAGGGAAAGGGAAATTTGGGGTCCTCTGCTGAACTTGCTACCCCCGCGACCCGACCCTGGATAAGCGGATGAAGATGAAGGAAGATGAATGAAGTCTATTTCAATTATCATGACAAGGCTGGTGTTAGGGCTGGACCCAGGAGCAGACACCCAGACGGTATGGAAGGTTTAAAGGGGTTTTATTCCACGCGCACACACACAGGGGGATGAGGTGCGGCCACAGCAGGAACGGGCGGGTGAGATGGTGAAAGAGACGGGAGACACAGAGGCACAGGTGAGCAGACACAGGAAGCCAAACTGCACAAAGGGACCCTGGGGCACGGGAGAGAAAAGGTTAGCTGGGGGACAGGCACAGGGAAAATCACAAGAGAGCTTGAATTGCTTAACCAAATACTGAAGGGAGCCACGAGAGTTACCACCACATAGGCTGAACAATCTGGCGATGAATGGGAGGAAGACCAGGGTTCTTGAAGACTGAGGCATGATGAATGATTGAGAGCAGGTGAGACAGCAGGCACACAGGGAAGGAGGAGGAGCAAAGGGAGCAGGAGGGGAGCAGAGCCATGACAGTACCCCCCCCTCAACGGACGCCTCCTGGCGGCCTACCGGGCTTGTCAGGATGGGATCGGTAGAAGTCCGAAAGAAGGGAGGAGTCCAGGATGAAGTGCCGGGGAACCCAAGAACGCTCGTCCGGCCCGTACCCTTCCCAATCCACCAGATACTTGAAACCCCGGCCCTGCCGTCGGACGTCCAGGATCTGGCGAACTGTGTAGGCTGGGTGGTCGTCGATGAGCCGGGGGGGCGGAGGGGGGTCGGCCGGAGGGCACAGAGGGCTGGAGGAGACAGGCTTCAGGAGAGATACATGAAACACTGGATGCACATGTAGTGACGGAGGGAGTTTTAACCTTACCGCCACAGGATTTATGATTTTGTCCACTTCAAAAGGTCCAATAAATCGTGGGGCCAGCTTTCGAGACTCTACCTGCAAGGGCAGGTCTCGAGAAGACAGCCACACCTTCTGGCCAGGAGCGTAATCCAGGGCAGGGAGTCGGTGGCGGTCCGCCAGGCGTTGGTTTCTAGCTGCAGTCCGTAGCAGGGCTGCACGAGCCTCAGTCCAGATCCGCCGGCAGCGGCGCAGGTGGTCCTGTACTGATGGGACCGCCACCTCCCCTTCCTGAGATGGAAACAATGGAGGTAGAAAACCATAAGCTGCCATGAATGGGGACATACCTGTGGCAGCGCAGGTGAGGGAGTTATGTGCATATTCGATCCAAGGAAGGAAGGAAGAAATGTGCACCAGGAGACTGGATGTCGGGCGGCGACACAGCGCAAGGCAGCCTCCAACTGCTGGTTAGCCCGCTCTGTCTGGCCGTTGGATTGTGGGTGGTAACCTGAGGAGAGACTGACAGAAGCGCCCAAGGAGTGGCAGAAGGCTCGCCAAACCTGGGAGGCGAATTGTGGACCACGGTCAGAAACTATGTCCTGAGGGATTCCATGTAGGCGGAACACATGGGTGACTAGGAGTTTGGCAGTTTCTAGAGACGAGGGGAGCTTGGGCAGAGGCACAAAATGGACAGACTTAGAGAAACGATCAACAATGGTGAGGATAGTGTCGTTACCTTCAGAGGTAGGCAGACCAGAAACAAAGTCCACAGCAATGTGAGACCAGGGGCGACTTGGAACGGGCAAGGGGTGTAATAGTCCAGCTGGTGACTGATGGGAGGATTTACTGCGGGCACAGACAGAACAGGCGGCTACAAAAGCTTTCGTGTCTCTCGCCATGGATGGCCACCAAAACTTCCGCCGCAGGAAATCCGGAGTTCGCTGGTAACCAGGGTGGCAAGAGATCTTAGAGGCGTGAGCCCACTGGAGGACCTGTGACCGGGTAGAGTCTGGGACAAAAAGCCGGTTAGGGGGGCCGTTACCTGGGTCAGGTTGTGAGCTTTGTGCCTGCTTTACCAGAGCCTCTATTCGCCAATTTACAGCTGCAACCACACAAGAAGCCGGGAGGATGGTCTCTGCTGGCATACTTCCGCTGAGCGGTGGGTCTGTCCACACGATGAATGGGAGGGCAGCGCCCTCCAGCCAATGCCTCCACTCCTGAAGGGCTACCACCACCGCCAGCAGCTCACGATTCCCCACATCATAGTTCCTCTCTGCAGGGGACAGGCGTCTGGAGAGGAAGGCACAGGGATGCAACTTCTGGTCCTTGGGGGATTGCTGGGAGAGTACTGCCCCAATGCCAGTGTCCGAGGCATCCACCTCCACCACAAACTGGAGGGAGGGGTCCGGATGATGTAGCACCGGGGCAGACGTAAACAGCTCTTTCAGGGCAAGAAAAGCGGTTTCTGCTTCAGGGGGCCAGGTGAACGGTGCTTTCACTGAGGTGAGCTTAGTCAGGGGGGCTGCTACCTTGCTATAATTTCTAATATTAGGTTTTTATACATACAAGGAATTTGTCTTGGTGCAGTGGTGCATAAAATATACAATCACTCAAAAATATACAAATCACACAACAATCACACACAAGTACTTTTATAATATAAATAAATAAAGATAAGAAAACTGTACATAAAACGGGAGAGCATTAATGTAATGAGTCAGTGTCAAAGGGGGTTCTGGGCCTTGTTAATGAGGCCAGCTGCAGACGGAAAGAAACTGTTTTTGTGGCAAAAGGTTTTGGTCCTGATGGACCGTAGCCTCCTACCAGAGGGGAATGGTTCAAAGAGTTTGTGACCGGGGTGGGAGGGGTCAGCCACAATCTTGCCTGCACACCTCAGGGTCCTAGAGGGATGGCAGATTGCAGCGGATCACCTTCTCAGCAGATTGAATGATACGCTGCAGTCTGGCCTTGTCCTTGGCAGTGGCAGCAGTGTACCAGATGGTGATAGAAGAGGTGAGGATGGACTTGAAGATGGTGATGAAGAAGTGCACCATCATCGTCTTTGGCAGGTTGAACTTCCTCAGCTGCCGCAGGAAGTATATCCTCTGCTGGGCTTTCTTGGTGACCACTTGAGGTCCTGGGTAATGATGGTACCCAGGAAGCGGAAGAACTCCACAGAGTCAACTGGGGGAGTCACACAGGATGATGGGGGCGGGTGGGGCTGGGTTCTTCCTGAAGTCCACAACCATCTCCACTGTTTTCAGGCTGCACCAAGTCACCAGATGGTCAATCTCCCATCTGTAGGCGGACTCATCTCCACCAGAGATGAGCCCAATGAGGGAGGTGTCATCCGTGAACTTCAGGAGCCTGACGGACTGGTGACTGGAGGTGCAGCTGTTGGTGTACGGGGAGAAGAGTAGAGGACAAAGAACGCAGCCTTGGGGGGATCTGGTTCTGATGGTCTGGGAGTCAGAGACACGTTACCCTAGCTTCACATTCTGTTTCCTGTCGGACAGGAAGTCTGTGATGCACCTGCAGGTGGAGTCAGGCACAGTGAGCTGGGAGAGATTGTCCTGTAAGAGAGCAGGGATAATGGTGTTGAAAGTAGAGCTGACGTCCACAAACTGGATCCTGGCATAGGTTTCTGGGGAGTCCAGGTTCTGGAGGGTAAAGTGCAGGGCCATGTTTATGACCTGTTGGCTCTGTAGGCGAACTGCAGGGGGTCCAGGAGTGGGTTCGTAATGGTTTTGAGGTGGGAGAGGACAAGGCGCTCAAAGGACTTTATGACCACAAGGTGTGGAGTTAGGCCTGTAGCGACGCATCGACACCAAAAATACGTCGACGTCAAATTTTTGCGTCGACGCTTCGCCACAGCTCGACACACATGTGGGAGACCAAAACATTGCAGATTGGAGGACGAAACAGCAACCTTCTCACAGAATTCCCAATAAAAGCCCCAATAAAAGAAAAAGTCCTAAACAACAGCTCGCCCTAAATCATCGAAGGTTTGGGAATACTTCAAATTTAGCCCCAAACGTAAAGGTGTCGTTATTTGCGCTCTTTGCTGTTGTGCTGGTGTGGTATGCCAACTCCATTTGGCAATGTGGGAGCATCTGTGGCGGTGGCGCCCCGTTGTCGCTCGTGGAGGAGATGGTGGCAGGTGGGTGCTGCCGTTGGCTGGGTTGGTTTCATGTTTGTGTGGTGTGTTGTGTGGCTCGGGCTCTGCACACTTCGGTGGTGCTGACTGGCTGACTGCCTGTGCAGCAGCGCGCTGCACAGGCATGGGATTGATTTGGCCAGCGTTGGTGCTTGTTGTTGTCTCCTTCGCGAGTGGCAAAGAGGGCCTCCGTTTCAGAGAGAGAGCTAAGATGCATTGGTTAGCCTAGCACCACCAAAGTGCACCAAAGTGCACAGCTGCTAGATCTAGCTAACGGTAGCAAGAAGATTGCAGTAGCTTTTAACGTTATCTATCTAACGTTAGCTAACTTACGTAAATCTTCCAATTTGTCGTTAGATTAGTCGACTAATCGATAAATAATCGTTTACCCCCAGCCCTATGTGGAGTTGTGAAGTGGCCCCGGCTCCTTCTGAGCTGGGGGAGGGGGAACTGGTGAGGTGTGTGAAGGGGGATGGTGTCAGAGTCCAGTATCGATCCACACAGCCATGTCTCCGGGAAGCATAAAACAGACGTTTTCGACCATTTTATTGCACAGTGAATGCACATTGGAGAGGAATATTCCATGTAATAGTGTGCGATGTCCATGCTGGTGGAGATGCACCGGCACGCTTTCCTCTCCTCCTGCGTTTCACTGCGTGAGCAAAGGTGAGCGCACCAATGACCACAATGTCCAATAATTCAACGGAAGCGAGGATAAAAGTGGGAAAGAGATCAGCTGGAGTTGTTCCCCTGATCTTCATGAGCTCTTCTCTAGTGAAAGAGCTGATAATCACTGGAAGGAATGATTGGGTAACGTTTGGAACAGAATCATTCAGACTTAGACATATTGGTGCGATATCTGAGTTTGAATTATTTTGAAATATTGATTATACTTTCATTTGACATATTATTTTGACAGATACACTTTGCCTTGCCGTTTTCTTCGTCCGAAAAGTGCATCCAAATGCTACGCTTTCTTTGGCTCATTGTAGGTGCAGTACTGACACTCCGCACTCACGTGAAAGCAGTGTGCCACTGTGTCGGACAACTCAGATGACGTCATGTGAAATTTGCATATCAAATTAGCACCCCAGGTGTACTCTGCTGCGCTCCTCCCTTTGTTGTGCATGCTCTCCATCTCAGTGGAGTAGCTAAAGAGGAGCTTGTGTGCACATGCTGTGTGAGTGACAGCGATTTAAAAAATGAAAAAAGAATGAAAAAAAAAAAAGAACGGCTCTCAACTGTGACTCGGTTCCCAGCGTTCATGTTAAAGAGCCGTTCAATAGATTTGGTTCGTTTGTGAACATCACAACTCTATTAGGTTAACGTCTTTATTGAAGCAGCAGCATGTTGTCATTAATATTAATAACAGATCCTTTTCACTCTTTGTATCTTACAGTTTTCAACCTGCTGTTGGGTTCGGGTGTTTGGAGTTTCCATTTTCTAAACTTCATTCTACATTCTAAACCTTCTTCAGCTCTGAACAGATTGTTAAACACTGAATGATTTCAAGCAGGAACATTGTCTTCTACACTTACATCTTTTATTCTTTATTCAGATTGAGGTACTGCAGTTTGTCAGAGATCAGCTGTTCTTCTCTGGTCTCAGCTCTGAAGTCCAACCCCTCCCATCTGAGAGAGCTGGACCCGAGTGACAACAAGCTGCAGGATTCAGGAGTGAAGCTGCTGTGTGGTTTTCTGGAGAGTCCACACTGTAGACTAGAGACTCTGAGGTCAGTTCACTGACTCTCTGTTACTGTTGTAGATCTGATATGTTTAATTAACAATTGAACCTAATTTATGTTCATACATAACTTACATCCATAAAGTTGTAAATTTGCTTTTGTTCATATTTTAATGTTGAACTAAATTTAGTCTGCAGTCACAAAGACTTCTGTTTGTTAAAGAAACTGTAGAAAATGTCCACTGTTAGTTGTTAAAGTAAATGAATGTTTATAATTGTTGGTAAATGATCACATCTGGATACAGAAGATCCTCTGAACTAATATTTGTTTTAACTTGATCCACAATAACACAATGACAAAGTCACTCTACTCATTTTAGAGAAAAGCTCATTGATTAGGACATAGTAATGTTGATCTCCACATTTAAAACCTGAACACATCTGATTGGATTATAAATTATTTTTATCTTCATCATTTATTCTTTATTCAGTTTGTGGCGCTGCAGTTTGACAGAGATCAGCTGTGATTATCTGGTCAAAGCTCTGAAGTCCAACCCCTCCCATCTGAGAGAGCTGGACCTGGGTTACAACAACCTGAAGGATTCAGGAGTGAAGCTGCTGTGTGGTTTTCTGGAGAGTCCACACTGTAGACTGGAGACTCTGAGGTCAGACACCATTTTTTCCTTCTGTGTTGAGATTAATATTATGTGAAAGTTGTGCAGGGGGGTATCAGGAAGCAAGTGAACATTTTGTCCTTAAAGTTGATGTGTTAGAAGCAAGTAAAATGGGCATTGTGGGGATTTGATCGACTTTGACAAGGGCCACATTGTGATGGGTAGATGACTGGGTCAGAGCATCTCCAAACCTGCAGCTCTTGTGGGGTATCCCCAGTCTGCAGTGCCCAGTGCCTATCAGAAAGTGGTCCATGGAAGGAAAGTAGTAAATCAGAGACAGGGTCAAATTGCGACAAAGGCTCATCGATGCATGTGGAGAGTGAAGGCTGGCCCAACAGATGAGCTACTGTAGCTCAAACTGCTGAAACAGTTAATGCTGGTTCTGATAGAAAGGGGTCAGAACACACAGTAAATCACCGTTTGTTGGACTACTATTGTGTCCAGGTGGTCATAATGTTATGGCTGATATACTGATCCACACTGAGTATCTTAATGCTAAAGTCTGTTTTCTTCTTCAGTGGTTTAGTCCATTGACTGTGGCAGAGCAATGTTGAGCTCCACATTTAAAACCTGAATATAACAAGAAGAATCTACACTGGATAATTCCCTCTGAACCTTTAAACTCTTGATTTTCATCTTTTATGAACATTCTTTATTCTTTATTCAGATTGATCAACTGCAGTTTGTCAGAGATCAGCTGTGATTATCTGGTCTCAGCTCTGAAGTCCAACCCCTCCCATCTGAGAGAGCTGGACCTGAGTAAAAACAACCTGCAGGATTCAGGAGTGAAGCTGCTGTCTGATCTTGTGGAGAGTCCACACTGTAGACTGGAGACTCTGAGGTCAGTAGAGGGTTGGAATCAGTCCATGCTGGTTTCAGCAGTATTGTACTAAACACAGTTAGTATCAAAGCAAAGATCCAGTATTTGCTGCTTTCCTCAGTGAAGCTGTGAGAGGAGGATGGTGACAGACTTCAGGGTTGGACAGAAAGACAGACAGAGACTGTAAACACTGATTTATGACTTCTGTTGTCTGTCTTCTTCTCTCATCAGATGGAAGTGATCTCAGTCAGAGTGTGAGTGGTGAGGAAGGAGGTTGTGTTGGAGGATCAGCTGTGTCCTGATGATCCAGAGAGGTTGAAGCAGCAGCATCAGCTCTGACTGGGCCATGTTACTGGGAGGTAGAGTGGAGAGGAGAGCTTCATCCAGCAGTGACTGACAGAGGAATCACAACCAGTGGAGATGACTCTCAGTGCTGCAGTCTGAACTGCTCTGAGATCAGCTCCACTGTCGGACACAATGTCAAGTCCACCATCATCCCTGTGTGTTCCTCTGGATGTGACAGAGTATCATCAGTGTATCTGGACTGCTCTGCTGCTGCTCTGTCCTTCTACACAGTCTCTGCAGACACACTGAGACTCCTCCACTCCTTCTGCTCCACACTCAACCACCTCCTCCACCTGGAACCTCCACCTGGATTTTATTCTTTCATTCATTCACATATTCTGAACCCAAACTGCCTCTACACATTCATTCTGTTTATGACAACAGAACTGTAGATGAACACTTACTTAAACACATTTCTTTAAACAGAGTTGCAGTTAATGTTAATTATATTTCTAATTCATTTTGTTCAAACTTTAAAATCAGCCTGCATACATAAAGTTACCTCTCTGGAGTTCTGGTTGTTACCAGATACAGATTTGTTGTAACACACAGAAATAAGAAAATAAAATATGTAGAAAGTTTGGATTTAAGTTTAAAAACTGAAATATGATTATCATTATTAGTAAAAGATTATATACAGTTACTTTTTAAAACACTGCAAAGTGTGGAGATAATTATCTGTGGGTTTGTCTTTGGAAACGACCTCCCTTTGTTTCACGTCGTCATTTAATCCATTGTTAAAATGAAAATATTGATTCAAGTCTTTTTTAGTTCCGGAAATATCTCCGGATTTTGGTGGGAAATCAGTGCCGTCTCAAACGTCAGACACACACTGAACACCACAACATTTTAATAACTTGATGTATAATATTGTTTCAGTTTTGACATGATATAAACATAATAACTATTAACTTTAGGGTCATTATCAGTGAATATATAGATGTTCCTTTTTTTAAAATATATATTGTATTGACAGTTGTGTTATTGCAACAAAAACAGATCCTGATATTCAAATCTAATTTTGTATTGTCTGTATTATTCTTGTTTTTTTTTCTCCAAATTGTCTGTAAAAATATTGAATAAAAAATAGAAAAACTATTAAAATGCAATGTAAAGTAATGTGTTCTACTTATTCTTTTATATATGTTTATAATCATTTCTGGTATTGATGTTGTGTCACATTATATGGATACATTTGAAATTCAAATTGAGATTTTCCTTGTAAATATTCTTTCAATAGGATGAACTGAAACTGGTGAAACAGAAAGGATGATGCAGGAATCGAACCTGCACCACCGCTGTACGGCCTTACCTCACAACCCTGAAGGTCCGAATGTCAGACTATCACAGTGGCATGTGAATGCAGCACAGAAACAACACACCTGCACACAGCTGTAGTTTAATCTTTTATCTGTACACAATGTAAACATTAATAACGCACACACACTATATCTTTATATCTTTAACATCACTCAGCAGAGCAGTTAAAGACATTTTACTCCAATACGCAGAAATTCTTTACAAAAGAAACACATTAGAGTCACCGTCAGTCGTTATATGTACAAAATATTCACACGCAGCATCTGGCCCCGCCCACAACACCTGACATCACAGTGACATCACCTGAGCCGCTTACAGTCAGTCAGTATAATGCTGATTATCATCAACCTGGTTATTGATCTGGCAGATTTCTGATCAACTGAGTCAAAAAAAGAGTAAAGTTTTAGTATTTTAAGCCTTCGTTTGTCAAATGAATAATGTTAATGAAGCGTTTATTATCACAGCCGACTGATTCCTCATGGTTTTATTAGCACTTCCTGGGAACACGTTACTAATTTCACTGATTTTCATAAATGTTTTTCTTCCACATTCATCAGTTCATGGTAGAACAATTCCTCTAAAAGTATCTTTGATATTCTGCTGAAAATAAAAAGGATTTGATTAAGAGATCCTCATCGAAATGTTCATCAATATATATCTGTGATCAGTCGAATCCATCCCATAATATCAGGTAGACTTTATTCTTTATTGCAGGTTTGTAGTTTGTCCTTGTTTAGCTCCAGAAACCTGGATCAGGTGCTGACGTGCCACCGTACAGGGGTAATAATCCGGTTAAACCAGGGACCACCAAAGCCTCACATTCAGCCTGCAGAATATATTACAATATTTCTATATTCATATTATAAGTGTTGTGAAGTTAAATGACATTAAAAGCTCTTCTCTGTATTATTCTTTTATTAAATGCTTTGTTTCACTGCCTGACTGGTGGAGGGATAATCTAGTTATCAGTCAGTTATCAGAGTGTGTTCACACCGATATAGGATCATTAAAATATCACTCATAAAGAAGCTCTGGCCGTCGGTCAATGTGGTCGAAGATCCCGGATTCAAACCACAATCATCTGTTCCCTGTGGTGGTCCGCCGCCCCGTCAGGTCGTCTCCTGCGCGTCCGAACTGACGGAGAGCCGGTCCGACCGGTCTGCCGTGATCCAGTTTCCAGTCTGTGTGTGGTTTGGTCCCGGTGGTTCACACGGTGGAGGGCTTCATCAGAGCCTGATCCCCAAACAGCTGCTTGAAGTGAACCACATGCTCCTCACAGTGCTCTCCTGGTAACACACACACACACACACACACACACACACACACACACACAAGGTTTGGTCCAATGACTCTGAACAGTGCTTCAATAAAAACGAACTCATAACAACCACATTTTATATTTAATATTCCTCCCACACGTCCTGGAAAACCTGGAAATTTGAAGAATTTAGAGTTTTTTCCGTCATAGAAACAATAAATATTCCAAATATCCCTGAAATATTCTGTGTTGTCTGGAAATTTGTTGCCCTCAACCTTCCTCTGTGCCACTGTTGTACGTGAGACTCATCCCCACGGTCGGCTGTGGTTTCGGTGTTTTGGCTCACCCGGGTTGAAGTTGGGACTTCCTCTCAGCCGTTGGTTCCTCTGCTGGAACGACCTGAACACGGTGTAGAACAACATCTGGTCTCCGGTCTGCTGCGCTGCGTCCAGAAACTTCCTCGCCGACACGTTGTCGTGGCCGCCTGCTCGCAGTGAAACCGGGTTAGTTCCCCGAGCCTTCTGCGTGTATTTTGGTAGATAAATCAAACATCAACGTACCGACGCTGCGGATGAATCTGAGCGCGCCCAGAACCTGCTGCTTCGACAGCAGAACCTCGACGATCTCGTCGTTGGCCGTGGAGAGACGCTGAAAACACACAACGGCAATTCAAATAATAATTCCACTTCAGTAAAGAGTGGTTCTGTACAGCCGGTGTGTGTTCGATACCTTCAACATGTCCAGTGACAGCTGGTGTGCCGGAGGGTACGTACTCTCCAGGGACAGCAGCAAACAGGCCTGAACCCACAGAAACAAACAAGGGATGTTAACGCTGCAAAAGAAAGCAAATTAAACTCTGAATAGTTGAGTGAAGGTTCAGCTCTTCGTCCCCAATGAGCTCATCACTCCTGTATCTATATCTGTCTTCTTGTCATTATGTAAGAAAACCTTAAAAAGTTTCAGGACTCTAAAGTTGATCTTATGCTGCAGCATATTAAACGTACAATATGTCCTTTCTGTCAGCAGATGTTTGATGAAGCAGCGGGGATCATGGGAGGTTTCTATCCACAGAGGTCTCCTCCTCTCCAACACAAACAGACTGCTGATTAAAACCACTAAACACACTGAATAAAGCAGTTCCACCTTAACAATCACTGCTTCTCCCACGCTGTTGGACAGACAAAGGACGTCCCGGAGGGGCTGCGAGCCGAGCTGCTGCTAACGTTAGCTCAGCTTGTTTCTCTGATAACTTAAGATCCAGACGTCCGATGACTAAAATCCTTCATCCGGTTCAAATCTAGAGTTAAAAAGCACCAAGATCTAAACAGTGGATGGTAACAATGTGTTAGAATGAGCTGACCAGTGGTTTGGAGTCGCTGAGGACGTGGTACTGCAGGAACTGGTGCAGCATGTAGAAGAGGTTGTGCTGCACCAGCGTCTTAATCACCAGCTCATACAGGTAATGCTGAAAGACACAATGAGAGAGAAGTTGAGCCGGCAGCAATGTGAGGTTTGTCCTCAAGGTGGCAGCAGAGGAGACGGTCAGTCGGTACCTGTACGGTGATCTGGAACTGGTTCAGAGAACGGATGTACTCCATCAGAACCGCAATGATGAACTTATGGGAGACACCCTGCAGACACAGAGCATCATCTTACACATCACTCTTGTTACATAACGGAGCATTTAAAAGCAGATTTCTGTCATTTGTCACTCACCACGGTGTAGGTCTGCTCCGCCTCCAGGTATTCTTTATACACCTGGTTGAGCTTGTCGAAGACGGTCGCCACGACGGGAAGACTTCCCTTCTCCCCGCCCTCCAGAACTGAGAGCGAGACAGAAAACGTTTCAGACAAAACAACACAAAAGCTGATTTTCACTGCGTCACCATGGCAACGTTGTTCTTCGAACTTAAGATACATAAGATGTTATCCTCCTAAGGGACCTCTGACAGAATTTAGGCTAGATCTGGTCAATCTGCTGGAAGGTATAAATGAAAGTATAAAAATGACATTTCCTTTCACCACTAGGTGGCGCTCTCAATATTAGTGAATATTATCACATAGACATGTTCAGGGCGGGACTCTTATCAAACATCTGAAGTCCATTGAGATCGGATCATGTACTCAGAAGTTGTGACAAATCCCTTTTTCATAACGAGTCTCTGAAATTCCACGCCGCGAGCACGTCACTCGATGGATTGTCATAAATAGCACAACTTTTAATCATGAAAGTCTTTAGATGGCTGTGTCCAAATCTGAAGTGGATCCGATCAATTCCCTAGGAGGTGGCCAACTTTCTGTAGGGTTTGGGATATGGCGCCCACTGGATGTTTTGTTCATCTGGATAAGATCTACGCGTGTGCCGATTTTTAAGCATATCGGGGAAAGGGGCCCCGGGTGGTACAGTTTACGAGAACTTAAAAGAACATGAGACTGCACTGTACTGATATATAAAACTATATTAGACAACCATGAGCATAAAACCTGAGCAGATCAAAGTTTGTACATTTGTTCCACGATGACCAAAGATGATGATTTTAGTTTGTTCCAATCAAAGCCGCTCTTTACACCTTGGAACTATTTTCACACAGATGCTGAATTTGATCCTGAAAGACTTCTGTTTGACATTTGAACCTTTTCTTCCTTCACAGAAAGTTTTTACCAACAAAGTTCAGTTTTAGACTCAAAGTTGAATATTTGTTCATATTTTAATATTTGAGTCATAGAAACACTTTCCCTCTTATTGTGGGTTCAAAAAGAAGATTTGAAAAACAAGCTCAGAGTTATAGAAGAAGATCAATTCTTCCACCCACCTAGAGCTGGAGTCTGTCCAAGGTTTGTGCCTCTGAAAAGGAAGTTTTCAAAGAATGATGTTTGAATGTTTTATCTTTTTATGTGTTTAAATATGTGTTGTCATTGGTGGGTTTTTCTTTCTATCTGTATGTCTCACCCTGTGTTACTGTTGTTGCTACTGTGGCAAAATCAATTGCCCCACAGAAACAAATAAAGGACTTATACAGGCACTCACTGAGTTAACATGAACTATGTGGTTTAGGAATAATGGCCGTCTAACAGGAAGACACATGAGGAATGTTCCTCTATCTGAGCCTCTGTCTGCTGTATGTTGGTGGGCATCAGAAATATTTGATATCTGTATATGTTCATTGTACAGAGGTCATATATGATGAGAACTGCCTTTCTGTATGTGTGATATCCTTTAAACTGGAGAGTGTCAGAGGTTAGAAGAGATCATAGAGAGTGGGATCAACACATGAGTCCAAACCAAGATGGAGGCCTTCTCCTCTGGGGTTGAACACAGAGATTGACCCCACGACACGGCAGGTTTAAAGCTCCCTGTGGTGGAGGGTCGGGTCTCTGACCCCAGTATGGGGACTGACCCTCAACCAGTAACCAGAGGCCTCAGGGACCAGTCCGTCCTCCTGTAGACTTGGATTAGAGGAACACAGGATGGAGTCAGGACACCCTGGGGGGAGTAAGGAACTACAGCTGTTACACTATATTATATTCTATCATTAGATTATTATTACTGCTGTATTTGGCTGTTGTAGCTGCTCAGGTGGAGCTGATTTCAACTATTGAGGAAGGACTGTGACTAATTATTATTGTCATTGATCTAAATTGTCCAACTTGAGAATATATTGAGAAATGCCTGTTACAATCATCCAGAGCCCACAGTGACACAATGTTGTCTGACCAACAGTTCAAAGCTGAACATAGTAAAAGTAGTAATACTACACTACAGAAATACTCCATTACAACTTAAAGTGCTGCATTAAAACAGTTCCTCAGTTACAGAAGTATTATCAGCACAATGTAGTTGAAGCTCCCAGTCTCTCTCTGCAGACACTCCACTCCCCACACCTGTTGTTGCCCTGACAACCGTGACGTCACAGCCGCTCCCTGTCCACAGGTAACTTTCACTTTGTGAGCTCGTCGTGTCGCAGCTTCTTCTTCTGTCCATGTGAAGGTTAGTAAGAGACACTTTTCACTGTTTGACTCCTCAATGACTCTTTGTTCATCTTGTTAGTTTAGTTCAGTAGAAAGAGCAGAAAACTCTACTAACAGTCAACTGAGAACCAACATGGAGGAAGAGTTTCCTCCATCTTACTGTCAGTGTGTCACTGTTCAAAGTAATCAGAGTACTCACTGACAGTACTCAGAGTACTCACTGTATGATTTCTGTCTGTCTTTATGAGCTCACCTTATCAATGTAGTTGAAGTATGTAAAGTGAAAGTAGTCAGTGTACAGAATGGCCTCTGTCAGTGTTGTATTATTATATTAGTGGATGATTATTATTGATGCATTAACATGTAATCACTACTTTAATGTTGGAGTTGCTGCAGGTGGAGCCAATATGAACTACTTCAAATACTTTTGGCTGCTTGAATGTAAAATAATGAATTCTATTTTATAAACTGATCCCATGTTTGAAAAGTAAGCAGGAAGTAAAGCTGTCAGATAAATGCAGCTCCATGAGGCCATCTAGTGGACTGATAGTAGAAGTAGAGCAGCTGATGGCAGCTTTCTGCTCTCATTCTTCCTCAACACTGACCAATGAGAACAAGCAGCATCTCCTCTGGCCAATAACAAACCACTATTGATCCATGTATTGATTAGTTTGCAATGTGTGACAGTGATGAGAAAAGGCCATCAGTAGTTCCCAGAGTTCACAGTCATGTTTTATAACTGCTTCTTTAGTCTGAGCAACAGTCCAACAAGACAAAGGGATTCAACTGACACTGAGAGGAAACAGAGAGAAGCAGCCAATCAGTGGAGAAGCAGCTGATAGTTTTACAGGAGAAATGATGTAAATCAGTGGTTCCCAACCTGAGGGTCGGGACCCCCACTAGTGGTCACCAAAGCTTCATGGGGGGTCTGTAGGTCGGCCTACATCTCAGCATCTGGTTCACTTCTGTGAAGAAAAGTCAATGTAAAGTAAACTGTCTAATAGATCAATGACCAAACATCAGGGACAAGAAAACACTGAATTTGTCCAAAAAGAAGCATATTAAGTATTTATGATTGTTAAAAATGATAAAAAGATACATAACACAGACAAACTGTATAAAAAGTTCCCTCAACAGGAAATAATCTGCTCAGAATTCATCAGAATCAACTTCAACTTCTTGCAGTTACTGAGTTCAATATTTGGGTTGATTGTACAGTTTTGGATATAATATGAAATATGTATAAAATATGTCCCTCAGTCAGGGGTCGTCAGTTTACTCAGTGATAGAAAAAGGTTGGGAACCACTGATGTAAAGGATGAATGAGTGATGATGAGTTCTCAGTGCTGATCAGTGATTGGACTGATGCTTTCAGCTCTGCTCTCAGTGTTTCCTCTACAGATGAAGGTAGAAAGTCTCTGGGAGCTGATGTGGATGTGAATTCAGCAGCAGCTGCCAAGGTAACAGGATGGATTTTGGATTATTGGACTAGCTGCCACTGCATGCTCTGACTGGATATAGTAGACTTGGAAAAAGAGCAACATTTCAACTGTTGAGGAGCTTTTCAAAGTCAGTCAAATAGAAGTGAAACAGCAACATGAAGTGTATTCCTCTAGTCTTCAACCAACCCCACAGACTAAAGAGCATTGTGAATGTCATTTCTTAGATACTGCAGCTCAAAGTGCCAACAACATTTCTACTCTGCATGGAAACTGTCAGATGAGTGGATTTAGTATTGAGCTGAATGAGCCGTTTATATCAGCCAGTAGAGTCCTATTGTCCTATTGTGTGTTAGAAATATACAGTCTGCATCTCCAGCATTTACACACTGACAGATGCTAACTTGTATATGTTGGTCAATTAGCATAATTAGCATTAATATTCAGCTATATGGACAATATTTCAGTAATTGTTTGGCTGATTTTGACAATACAGGAGTGTTTTATTGGGGTTATTGAGGATGATGAATTCATTTCTGACATCGCTGACAACATTTCATCTCCCAGTGGGCTGATTTTGAGTATTTTTTCATCAATTATGAGATTATTTATTTGCTTAATTAATGCATAACCACATTGAATAAATATCTGAACACCAATGACAAAGAGCTTTCTAAACTGCAGTTCCAATGTATTATGCATATAAATGACCTCAAAATCAGTGAACCTGGAGTTCAAATAAAAACAATTTAAAGTGCAATTTTGTATTTTGTAAATGTCATAATTTGATCCATCATCCTCAGCAACTCCCAAAACCACTACTATAGTATCTGTTGAAATATTCTCCATACAGACATACACACATGCTTATTAATGCTAATAAAGATAATTGAGTTGGAATCTGTCAGTTTCTAAATGCTGGGGACCCACACTGTACATTTCTAACATAAAACTTTGGTACTCAACATTTCTGAGTTCATGTTGCTGCGAGTCGACTAATCCCTCCAATCAGAGCTGTGTGTGTTTGTCATGTGACTGAGAGGAATGATGGGAAATAATGTGTGATCTCTCCCAGCAGGTTGCTGTGTCTGTGTGAAGGTGTGGGCTCTGCTATGAATCAGTGTGAGGACAGAGAGGAGGGAGTCCCTCCCTCTAAAAGCACTCTGTGTGGGGAACATGACACAAGGACCAAAGCTCAGAGGTGAGATGAGGATCTCTAACTGTCCATGACTCTTCTCCATGTCACAAAGGCTTTGATTCTCCATTTGAAACAAAGACATTTATCTGAGCTAAAGTACGTAGTTGTCAGTATTCAAACAGGGCTGGACGATCTGATCTCAAATCAGTATCAGGAGAAACATTCAGCTTCATAATGAGAAATGTAACAGTAACATGTGTTTGAATCAATCAGAGCAGATTTCCTTCCTCATGTTGCTCACTGCTGATGTTTGTCCTGATTCATTCCAGTCTGACCAGTTCCACATTCTGCTCTTCTGGACTGGACTGGGAGCTGATTGCTCGCTGCTTAGATGTTGTAGCTGCTCTCACTGTAATTATATGGAATTCAGACAGTGTGTTGAAGTGTGTGACATCAGTAAATTGTGTTCAGTAACACGTCCATAATGTCAGTAATTGAAGACATTGTTCTTATTGTCCAGCCCTGTATTCAAACATTTCAAATTATACATCATTTCACAAAGTCTTTGATTCAGTGAATGTTTCTGAATATGTGAGCTTGAATTTCTTTCTATCAGGATCCATCAGAGACCAGACTGTCCTGAACCTGAACCCAGCTGTGTGTCCATGAAGAGTGATCGCTCTAATGATCATCTTATATACTTCAAAGATGGCCGCCACTCTGTTGATCAAAGGTGAGGATTTCAAACTGATGATAGAAATAAAATGATGTGTTTTTATCAGACTCTCAGTTTTTCAACCTTTACTGACTCAGATGAAGTTCTCTGAGCACCAACACTCTTTCAGCAGCAGCTGCCTCACACTCACACAGTCAAACACATTCACACTGGGAGCTGCCCAGTACAACCAGTCTGATACAAGCAGACACTGAGCAGCTCCACTGGAGCAGCTGGAGGCTCTGGGTGACTTGCTCCAGGGCACTTCAGCAGTGTACAGTGAGGGAGGGAGGGCTATATGGAGGGGTTGGTGAGAGCTGTTGGGACTGAACCAAACTGAGCTGTTGATTCTCAGTGGGATCAGCAGGACTAGTAAACCTTTACCACTACAGGGAGTCATCAGATTCACTGTTCACATCCAAATATCACTTCATGGACCTTTACCTTGTGTTTGTCTCTGTGTGGACAGACATAATGTGAGCTCATTCTTCATGATTCCTCCACAGAGTGGACCAGGAGAGCTCAGAGGTTCCCAGTGGTCAGTCTGCCCAGCAGCATCAAACACACCTGGACTCCATATTTATGGTCTGTACATGGACAATAACTACTTTTACATCTACTGTGTTCACAATAATCTCCATGCTGCACTTTTTAGACCAGTGGATTGTCAGTCTGTCCAACATGGATCTGATGTTTGCTTCCATGATTTGACTTTGATTGAGTCATTCATATAATATTCTGTTCCAGCTGCTGGAGGACAACATTGTCACTTTTGTGAAGAACGAGCTGAAGAAGATCCAGAAGGTTCTGAGTTCAGATTTCTCAGAATGCTTAGATATTCAGAGGGAGGATGAGGAGGTGTTGGACGGTGAGGATGAGGAGCAGAGGAGGAGCAGCATAGAGGCATTTCTGAAGATCACACTGCTCTTCCTGAGGAGAATGAAGCAGGAGGAGCTGGCTGACTGTCTGCAGAGCAGTAAGAGGATTTCTCTAAAGATTTAACTCGCTGGATAAATGAGACATTTACTGATGTCTCAACAGACCGACCAAAATATATTCACATACTCATTCTTTAAAGCCAAAATTGGTCACAACTCACCAATTAAAATGCATAAGAAGATATATATATATATATATATATAATATTTTTTAAAGGAAGGTTTCAGACCGCAACCTGTCTGCACGAGGGTTCACAGAAAACATGCATTAAATAGCGGCTGCCTCCAGGTGTGTGCCACCAGCAGTTTAACACAGTGAAATGCGGCAGAGGATGTGTGCTTGGATGTGGGCAACAACCACTTACCCTCATTGAAATGACTGGTGGCAGTAAGTTAGCTCCATAACTTTTGGTCTCAGGGACAAACAAAATAGATATTTTCTATCTGAGCTGAACATTTTTCTGCTTTAGGGGAATGAAATATTTTATTTATCAATCACTTAATGGTCATATTTTCTGTGTCTTCATTAAGAACATCTTGTTGGAGTTTGTCAGCGTGGACTTAAATCTAACCTGAAGAAGAAGTTCCAGTGTGTGTTTGAGGGGATTGCTAAAGAAGGAAACCAAACCCTTCTGAACCAGATCTACACAGAGCTCTACATCACAGAGGGAGGGACTGCAGAGGTCAATGATGAACATGAGGTCAGACAGATTGAAACAGCATCCAGGAAACCACACAGACCAGAAACAACAATCAGACAAGAAGACCTCTTTAAACCCTCACCTGGAAGAGATGAACCAATCAGAACAGTGATGACAAAGGGAGTGGCTGGCATTGGGAAAACAGTCTTAACACAGAAGTTCACTCTGGACTGGGCTGAAGACAAAGCCAACCAGGACATACAGTTCACATTTCCATTCACTTTCAGAGAGCTGAATGTGCTGAAAGAGAAAAAGTTCAGCTTGGTGGAACTTGTTCATCACTTCTTTAGTGAAACCAAAGAAGCAGGAATCTGCAGGTTTGAAGAGTTCCAGGTTGTGTTCATCTTTGACGGTCTGGATGAGTATCGACTTTCTCTGGACTTCCACAACACTGAGATCCTGACTGATGTTACAGAGTCCACCTCAGTGGATGTGCTGCTGACAAACCTCATCAGGGGGAAACTGCTTCCCTCTGCTCGCCTCTGGATAACCACACGACCTGCAGCAGCCAATCAGATCCCTCCTGAGTGTGTTGACATGGTGACAGAGGTCAGAGGGTTCACTGACCCACAGAAGGAGGAGTACTTCAGGAAGAGATTTACAGATGAGGAGCAGGCCAACAGAATCATCTCCCACATCAAGACCTCACGAAGCCTTCACATCATGTGCCACATCCCAGTCTTCTGCTGGATCACTGCTACAGTTCTGGAGGATGTGTTGAAGACCAGAGAGGGAGGAGAGTTGCCCAAGACCCTGACTGAGATGTTCATCCACTTCCTGGTGGTTCAGTGCAAACTGAAGAACGTCAAGTATGATGGAGGAGCAGAGACAGATCCACACTGGAGTCCAGAGAACAGGAAGATGATTGAGTCTCTGGGAGAACTGGCTTTTAAGGAGCTGCAGAAAGGCAACCTGATCTTCTATGAATCAGACCTGACAGAGTGTGGCATCGATGTCAGAGCAGCCTCAGTGTACTCAGGAGTCTTCACACAGATCTTTAAAGAGGAGAGTGGACTGTACCAGGACAAGGTCTTCTGCTTCGTCCATCTGAGTGTTCAGGAGTTTCTGGCTGCTCTTCATGTCCATCTGACATTCATCAGCTCTGGAGTCAATCTGCTGGCAGAAGAACAAACATTCTTAATTTCTTTATTATTTAAAGACAAACAGAATCTCAAACATCTCCACCAGAGTGCTGTGGACAAGGCCTTACAGAGTCCAAATGGACACCTGGACTTGTTACTCCGCTTCCTCCTGGGTCTTTCACTGGAGACCAATCAGAATCTCCTGCGAGGCCTGCTGACACAGACAGGAAGTAGCTCTCAGACCAATCAGGAAACAGTCCAGTACATCAAGAAGAAGATCAATAAGAATCTCTCTGCAGAGAGAAGCATCAATCTGTTCCACTGTCTGAATGAACTGAATGATCATTCTCTAGTGGAGGAGATCCAACAGTACCTGAGTTCAGGACGTCTCTCCACAGATAAACTGTCTCCTGCTCAGTGGTCAGCTCTGGTCTTCATCTTACTGTCATCAGGAAAAGATCTGGACGTGTTTGACCTGAAGAAATACTCTGGTTCAGAGGAGGCTCTTCTGAGGCTGCTGCCAGTGGTCAAAGCCTCCAACAAAGCTCTGTAAGTACAGAGAGTTGGATTTCTATATTATTACTAAAATACCCCGTTATCTTTTAAACTTACAGATTGTTTTGCTTTATTATTGTATTAATATCACAAATGTTATTGCTCTTAATGTTTATTATTGTCTCTTCAGACTAAGTGGCTGTAACCTCTCAGAGAGAAGCTGTGATGCTCTGTCTTCAGTTCTCAGCTCCCAGTCCTCTAGTCTGAGAGAGCTGGACCTGAGTGACAACGACCTGCAGGACTCAGGAATGAAGCTGGTGTCTGCTGGATTGAAGAGTCCACACTGTAAACTGGAAACTCTTAGGTCAGATCAAGTTAGTTTGTCTTAAGTCATATATTATATATATTTCATATTATATTTCTCTAAACTATTGCCTCCTTGCAGTGTAAACACTCTTATCTTAAAACTTCTGAATCATTAAATTTGGTCATCAGGACTTCACATTTTCAACCATTAATATCCAGGTACTACTGAACCAGAGGAACTAATCTCAGGAAGTAAACTAGAGTCTAAAAGTAGAAGTCCTTCTGTGTGTTTCCACTGCATCAGAAGAACCTTAAAGAACAGGCTAATTAGACCCATGACAGATAAAAAAATAATGGTAGTGTTTCAAACACAATATTCTCTCTCGAAGGTTTTTTAGGGTTGTCCCTGACTAAAGATGTTCCTAGTCGACTAGCAGTCTTTAAATAAAGCCAATAATTGACTGATCGTTGAACGTTTATGATATTACTTTAACTATTTAAATATATATATAACAGCGGCCTGTTAAATGCTAAAAGAAAAAGCAACACAGTATAACATCACACAACTCAGAACGTGTAATAAATAACATCCAACGTCACTAAAACAAATACTGGTGGACTTATCAATACAATGGATGATGTATCACATTAACATTTACAAATGAACTTGCTACAAACTCGCTCCCTTCACTCCTTTCCTCCTATCCCTCCTGCAGCTGAACGCACTGCGTGATAGTCCTCCGATGGTCCCGGTGTCAGCCCGGCTCTGCCCTACTTCCAGCCCCACTCCCCGGCAGTCCAAAGCTCATGGTGTAAACAAACCTTCAAGCTTGCAGTCAGGGTACAGTCAGCTGATAGGCTGACTTGCTAGAGGTAGCAGCTCTTTAGTAGTTAGCACATGCAGCAGTGCTGTTACAAGAAAAAAGCTCCGTGCTGTAACAATCATCCTGGTGCGAATATCTGACTAATGACTAAGACTCTTTCATTGACTAACAGTCTACTCTACTATTAGGGGACAGCACTACTGATATTTATGGTTTTGTGACTCTGATGTTTGATACAATGAATTAATGAAAAGCAGAAATGCAGAGGGTCAAACACAGACTGAAAACATTAGTATCTCCACAGTGACCATCTGCTGACAGTTTAATGGTTATTAAGTGTTACTTTAGAAAGTAACTAATGTGAAACAATCCGAACAGTAATAGTTTTATTTCTCTTTTCTTTGTCCACTCTACTGCCGCTTTCTCTCTCATTGACTCTTTCTGTGGAAAAGAGATTATGGTAAAAAAAAAAATTAGTAAGTAATTCTTGAGTCGTCATTCGGTCACTATTACTTCATTATCTGTGCACTTATTTGTTTCCCCCTGAAAGCTGAAATACAGAAATACTTAAATTAATTATTTTTAATTATGGAAACTTTATTACTATCAAATAGTTAGTGGCCAGTTACATTTAACAACACAATTATTTGTGTTCACCTCTCCCCTGTTAGAGGGTTTAAAAAATGAGCTGCAGGAGAAAAAAAAATGTATCAAACTATTAAATCTTTCAGAAATTAAACATGGAGTTTATTCAGAGATCTTTCGATCTCAAAGTTCAGTAAAACTTGATGAAGATTAAACTTTATCTACTGTTCATCCAACTCACAAGTTCTCTGGTTCAGCTGTTCATTTGAACATCAAAAGGTGTATCACTCTTCACTCTACACAATGATTACTGCCACCAATAACTCTTTGAATGTACATATGGCATGTGGCTGTTGTTTTAAGACACACTTGAACAAATGTGGATGTGTTTAATGACATTTACTTACTAAGCTACAACATACAGTAAGAAGGTCTTAATAAAGGTAATACATAAAGCTGTAGTTATAGCTGTAATGACAAAGTCACTCTACTCATTTTAGAGAAAAGCTCATTGATTAGGACATAGTAATGTTGATCTCCACATTTAAAACCTGAACACATCTGATTGGATTATAAATTATTTTTATCTTCATCTTTTATTCATTATTCAGATTGAGTGGCTGCAGTTTGTCAAAGATCAGCTGTGATTATCTGGTCTCAGCTCTGAAGTCCAACCCCTCCCATCTGAGAGAGCTGGACCTGAGTTACAACAACCTGCAGGATTCAGGAGTGAAGCTGCTGTGTGGTTTTCTGGAGAGTCCACACTGTAGACTGGAGACTCTGAGGTCAGACACCATTTTTTCTTTCTGTGCTGAGATTAATATGATGTGAAAGTTGTGCTGACAGTAAAGTGCAGACATAAGGCTGATATTATACTGATCCACACTGAGTATCTTAATGCTAAAGTCTGTTTTCTTCTTCAGTGGTTTAGTCCATTGACTGTGGCAGATCAATGTTGAGCTCCACATTTAAAACCTGAATATAACAAGAAAAATCTACACTGAATCACTCTTTATTTCCATCTTATATTCCCCATCATGTGTTTTAAAAGACACAAATACAATCAATAAATCAATAATCTCTATTTCAACTATCAGACAATAACAAGTAATAATGTCATTCTTATCATTATTATTATTATTATTATTATTATCATTATTAATATTTTATTGTTATTATTATTAACATTATTATAAACATTATTATTGCTATTATTATTATTATTATTATTATTATTATTATAAACATTATTATTGCTATTATTATTATTATTATTATTATTATTATTATTATTATTATTGTGTTACTTTAGGTTAGAGGGTAGGTCCTGTCATTTTATTTATTTATTTGTTATTTTAAATGTGTTTATGTTAAATGTCCCTCCTATCTGAAACACTTGTTAGTCCCATGAACATCTCCATATCCAATTAGACACATGCAATATCCTTTTCTCTTTCTTTCAAGAAGTTGGACGCAGGTCATTTTAATTTAAAGCTCCATCTGACTGGAATAATCTTCCACTTTCTTTGAGATTATTTAGTATTGTATGAGTTTATCCCAAAATCCATCCTGACATATTTGGTATCTTTGTAAACTTTAGGATCTTGAGTGGAACCTTCAATCAGTTTCTGTGGGTTTTTCTTTGTGTTTGGCTGCACAACATGAGTTTGTATAGATGGAGCCACTGGTGGAGCTGGCAGAGGTTAAGAGCTGAAGTCACTACGTCTTTATTGAAGCAGCAGCACGTTGTCATTAATATTAATGAGAGCTCTTTTTCACTCTTTGTATTTTACTATCTTACTTATTCTATCAGAAGAAATAGATACGCTCAAGGAGGATTGATGGAACAGGACAACGGTTTGAAAAGAGTAGTAACAAATAGCTTTATTGGCAACAGTGCCACCTTTAAGTGCAAAACATAAAATATTTTTTAGATATGACTGAATTCCTTTCTTGTATCAGAAGTTATCAACAAGTCAGAAAATGAAACTGAATAACGCTCAGTAGAAAACAAAACTCTTCACAGTATGAGTTATGAAATATATGGGCCCAAAATAATCAACAGACCAGAGAGAAAATTCAAAAGAGTCCAAAAACAGAAAAAGTAAAGTGTGAATGAAGTCAATATTCACAGTTTGTCCTTCTTCAGTGTGTTTGTGTGATTGTTCATCTACCCGGGTAGTGTGACTTTATGTTTTATTATCTGTATGAAGAGATGTTCTCTCCAATGCACAGTGAAGCTCTCGCTGACGTCACACCCTCCACGATCCAATGGGCTTGGTTCTGGCTCGCCATCAGAATCCACTCATACAATAAAACCAACCTGCATAGAGCAGTAGTAGTAGCATCTCTTCAATACAATCTTATTCATCTCGTTAATCTCTCTTTATCTATTTATCTTAACTGTACAGTATTAACTCTCTTTTTATCTTAAATCAATGAACGTGAATTATTCAATGACCAAGTTTCATATACAGCTGCACAATAACTTTAACAGCCAACACACAATTATATATATAAATCTTTAAATGCTTTTAACTCATCACAGCTTAATGTACACAAATTATGAAATGAATGTCTTTCAATCATGTTTTTATCAAGAAAATGAAATGAATTATCTTCTGTAAACTCAAGTTCACACAGCTGTGTGTGTTTGAGCTCAACAACCAGCTTTCTTAGCTGTATAACAGGTGCTAGTGCTATTAACACAGCTCAACATGTTTATCTGTCTCCGGTTGGTTTTTAAACACTATCACAGAATCATAACTATACACAGTGGAGACATATTCAATAAAATAAGTAATTATCTGTGAGCGGCAACGCTAATCCTTCATAGCATTTACTGACCGGAGTTTTCACTGGATAATAATCAATATCCACACGGTCAGCTTTGACAAGAAAAACCCTCTTCCTTGTACGGAAGTCCTCCAAAATGGTCATTTTAACAACTTTACAGTCAGTTATCAACTTTATTGAACTCGCTCTCTCTCACGTGGAGCTCTGGTTTGTATCGGTGCATGAAAAATAAACAGAGAAAGAAACAAGGAAACTAAACAACTACATCTGAAATCTACTAGACTGTATAGTTCTACACATTGTTAAACTGTGAACATTGGGGATTACACTGTGTGTGTAACTAATGGGTGTTACATTTATTCTTTATTCAGATTGTGGAGCTGCAGGTTGTCAGAGATCAGCTGTTCTTCTCTAGGCTCAGCTCTGAAGTCCAACCCCTCCCATCTGAGAGAGCTGAACCTGAGTTACAACAATCTGCAGGATTCAGGAGTGAAGCTGCTGTGTGGTATTCTGGAGAGTCCACACTGTAGACTGGAGACTCTGAGGTCAGTAGAGGGTTGGAGTCAGTCCATGCTGGCTAAGCTTTCCTGCAGCAAAGTGTCTCTCACTCAGTAAAAGTATCTGTGATGGATAAACTAGTGACAATCTGCCCTCGCTCTGCCCCTCCTGTACAGTCTACTGACAGTCACCCTGCAGAGACACAGAGACAGACGCTCTCTGTACAGATACAGTCTTTATTTTAACCAGTGCAGACCAGATAAAGCAACAGTGAACAGCAGTGAACACATCAGCTGGTGCCAATAGATTTGTTACCACGTTGGTTTTGATGGTTTTGATTGGCTACATCATTAACAACGAGCCTCCTCCACACATTGTTCACTTGCTGATGTAGAAACAGAATTGAATTGAATAGTGATATACACCAATCAGCCATAACATCATGACCACTGACAGGTATTCTAGGCCTGACTGAGATCAGCAGCATGCTGTTAATCAGGGTTGACATGAATAGGTGTATTAATGTTGTACTGACATTATGATGATCCACAATAACACAATGACGAAGTCACTCTACTCATTTTAGAGAAAAGCTCATTGATTAGTGTGGTATCTGAAGGCTTATAAATTTAAATTACATTCTGTTATAAGTTCAAATGATTGTTGATGTCAGCATATGTAGTGTTAGTAGTACATGAGATCAAGGGACTAATTCATACTATGGAATGTTTATGGCTTTACATTAGCCTCTGGCCTCAACTGTTTACGGCTTAATCCTTTACCGTTTGTGGTTGAAGGGCATCTGACCTTTACTTGATAACCCTCACCTCCCCTTATCATCTTAAACATTTGGATTGGAACCAGTTGTTTCTTTTGATCTTTTGGAGTAAAACTGACCTATATAAACCCGTGTTCAAGGTGAATTAGACAGAGTTGTTCATTTGGCTGGATGCTCTCCAAGCTCCCGCGGTGCTTGTATAGATGCTGAACTTTTTTGTAATAAACCTTTTTATATACAATCAAGACGGTGTCAGCGGACTTCTCTTCAACACATCTTCACATCATCGCTACTTAATATACCACATTAGGACATAGTAATGTTGATCTCCACATTTAAAACCTGAACACATCTGATTGGATTATAAATGATTTTATCTTCATCTTTTATTCTTTATTCAGATTGAGTCACTGCAGTTTGTCAGAGATCAGCTGTGATTATCTGGTCTCAGCTCTGAAGTCCAACCCCTCCCATCTGAGAGAGCTGAACCTGAGTATCAACAATCTGCAGGATTCAGGAGTGAAGCTGCTGTGTGGTTTTCTGGAGAGTCCACACTGTAGACTGGAGACTCTGAGGTCAGTAGAGGGTTGGAGTCAGTCCATGCTGGTAACAACTCGTTTGTTCCACTATAACAATAAGTCACAGTACAGGAAAAAGTTCACAGACTCATATTTACCTCTTGTTGATCACAAAAGTTCAAACCCTTAGGATAACTAATCAGCTTCTGCCTTTCTCCACAAACACCAGAGCTAGCAGGGTACGACTAAGTACTCTCTACCTGAGAATGTAATTTGGTTGGCTGTTTAATCCAGAACAGTCCAATTACAATAAAGAAACACAAAGATTGACATATCATGCATGAACCAGGTTAGGCTGTAAGGCTGAATACAGTGTGTAATACAGATACATATAAAACAAACTATGTTAATCTACATGAACTTCATCCTTTGACCTCTGAACTGTAGAGATTATACATCTTATATTTAGACACATATTTAACCTTCCATTTACATTTTAAACAGTATTTATATCCATGTTTTTAACCATATTTATACATGTTAAACCTCTCCTTTTAAACTATTTACTGTCTGATGACTACATGAATTATCCACATCTTGAAGTCTAAAAGTATTTTATCCAGGGCTACATTTAATTAACAACTGAACCTAATTTATGTTCATACATAACTTACATCCATAAAGTTGTAAAGTTGCTTTTGTTCATAGTTTAATGTTTGTTGAACTAAATTTACTCTGCAGTCACAAAGACTTCTGTTTGTTAAAGAAACTGTAGAAAATGTCCACTGTTAGTTGTAGGGATGCACGATAACTTTTTTTAAAACCCGATACCGATAACCGATAACACACACACACACACACACACATACATATATATATATATGATCATGACATTAATACTATGAACAAACCCAAAAACACTTTTGACTCTTTCAATGGAGATATTGGCAAGCCTCTCAAAAAACAATAAAGGCCCCTTGAACTGATGCAAATACATGCATTGGGATTACAAACTGAAACTGTTCAAATAAATAAATAATTATATATATAAATATACATATATATATATATTAGGGGTGTCACGATTCTCCAAATCCTCGATTCGATTTAATTTTCGATTTTAAAGTCTCGATTCGATTTTCGATCTTTTTTAATATAACTATTAATGCATTCCTTATATGTTATTTACTTTTTTTGGCCTTTTCCTTTTCTGTTTCGGGGGGGCTTTTATTTTGAAACTGTTCCAACTGCCAGGATGTAAACAGAACAAACATTAAACAGAGACGTGAACATAGTGAAATGAAACAACAAAGAATGATGATTTGATTGTTTCAGCACACTCCGAAGAGACCCAAGGTTAGTGTTCATGCAGTATGTTCTTATCAATGTGCATTTTAAGCCTTAAAGTCATTTTGGACTGTAACTAGATCATCTTTTCACTTGTTCACATTTTCTAAACTTGTACATTGTAAACCTTCTTCAGCTCTGAACAGATTATTAAACACTGAATGATTTCAAGCAGGAACATTGTCTTCTAAACTTACATCTTTTATTCTTTATTCAGATTGAGGCACTGCAGGTTGTCAGAGATCAGCTGTGATTATCTGGTCTCAGCTCTGAAGTCCAACCCCTCCCATCTGAGAGAGCTGGACCTGAGTGACAACAATCTGCAGGATTCAGGAGTGAAGCTGCTGTCTGATCTTGTGGAGAGTCCACACTGTAGACTGGAGACTCTGAGGTCAGTAGAGGGTTGGAGTCAGTCCATGCTGGTTTCAGCAGTATTGTACTAAACACAGTTAGTATCAAAGCAAAGATCCAGTATTTGCTGCTTTCCTCAGTGAAGCTGTGAGAGGAGGATGGTGACAGACTTCAGGGTTGGACAGAAAGACAGACAGAGACTGTAAACACTGATTATTGTCTTCTGTTGTCTGTCTTCTTCTCTCCTCAGATGGAAGTGATCTCAGTCAGAGTGTGAGTGGTGAGGAAGGAGGTTGTGTTGGAGGATCAGCTGTGTCCTGATGATCCAGAGAGGTTGAAGCAGCAGCATCAGCTCTGACTGGGCCATGTTACTGGGAGGTAGAGTGGAGAGGAGAGCTTCATCCAGCAGTGACTGACAGAGGAATCACAACCAGTGGAGATGACTCTCAGTGCTGCAGTCTGAACTGCTCTGAGATCAGCTCCACTGTCAGACACAATGTCAAGTCCACCATCATCCCTGTGTGTTCCTCTGGATGTGACAGAGTATCATCAGTGTATCTGGACTGCTCTGCTGCTGCTCTGTCCTTCTACACAGTCTCTGCAGACACACTGAGACTCCTCCACTCCTTCTGCTCCACACTCAACCACCTCCTCCACCTGGAACCTCCACCTGGATTTTATTCTTTCATTCATTCACATATTCTGAACCCAAACTGCCTCTACACATTCATTCTGTTTATGACAACAGAACTGTAGATGAACACTTACTTAAACACATTTCTTTAAACAGAGTTGCAGTTAATGTTAATTATATTTCTAATTCATTTAGTTGAAACTTTAAAATCAGCCTGCATACATAAAGTTACCTCTCTGGAGTTCTGGTTATTACCAGATACAGATTTATTGTAACACACAGAAATAAGAATATTAAACATGTAGAAAGTTTGGATTTAAGTTAACAGGATTATCATTATTAGTAAAAGATTATATACAGTTACTTTTTAAAACACTGCAAAGTCTGGAGATAATTATCTGTGGGTTTGTCTTTGGAAACAACCTCCCTTTGTTTCACGTCGTCATTTGATCCATTGTTAATATGAAAATATTGATTCAAGTCTTTTTTAGTTCCTGAAATATCTCTGAATTTTGGTGGGAAATCAGTGCCGTCTCAAACGTCAGACACACACTGAACTCACAACATTTTAATAACTTGATGTATAATATTGTTACAGTTTTGACATGATATAAACATAATAACTATTAACTTTAGGGTCATTATCAGTGAATATATAGATGTTCCTTTTTTAAAAATATATATTGTATTGACAGTTGTGTTATTGCAACAAAAACAGATCCTGATATTCAAATCTAATTTTGTATTGTCTGTATTCTTGTTTTTTTATCCAAATTGTCTGTAAAAATATTGAATAAAAAATAGAAAAACTATTAAAATGCAATGTAAAGAGATGTGTTCTACTTATTCTTTTATATATATTTATAATCATTTCTGGTATTGATGTTGTGTCACATTATATGGATACATTTGAAATTCAAATTGAGATTTTCCTTGTAAATATTCTTTCAATAGGATGAACTAAAACTGGTGAAACAGAAAGGATGATGCAGGAATCGAACCTGCACCACCGCTGTACGGCCTTACCTCACAACCCTGAAGGTCCAAATGTCAAACTATCACAGTGGCATGTGAATGCAGCACAGAAACAACACACCTGCACACAGCTGTAGTTTAATCTTTTATCTGTACACAATGTAAACATTAATAACGCACACACACTATATCTTTATATCTTTAACATCACTCAGCAGAGCAGTTAAAGACATTTTACTCCAATACGCAGTAATTCTTTACAAAAGAAACACATTAGAGTCACCGTCAGTCGTTATATGTACAAAATATTCACACGCAGCATCTGGCCCCGCCCACAACACCTGACATCACAGTGACATCACCTGAGCCGCTTACAGTCAGTCAGTATAATGCTGATTATCATCAACCTGGTTATTGATCTGGCAGATTTCTGATCAACTGAGTCAAAAAAAGAGTAAAGTTTTAGTATTTTAAGCCTTCGTTTGTCAAATGAATAATGTTAATGAAGCGTTTATTATCACAGCCGACTGATTCCTCATGGTTTTATTAGCACTTCCTGGGAACACCTTACTAATTTCACTGATTTTCATAAATGTTTTTCTTCCACATTCATCAGTTCATGGTAGAACAATTCCTCTAAAAGTATCTTTGATATTCTGCTGAAAATAAAAAGGATTTGATTAAGAGATCCTCATCGAAATGTTCATCAATATATATCTGTGATCAGTCGAATCCATCCCATAATATCAGGTAGACTTTATTCTTTATTGCAGGTTTGTAGTTTGTCCTTGTTTAGCTCCAGAAACCTGGATCAGGTGCTGACGTGCCACCGTACAGGGGTAATAATCCGGTTAAACCAGGGACCACCAAAGCCTCACATTCAGCCTGCAGAATATATTACAATATTTCTATATTCATATTATAAGTGTTGTGAAGTTAAATGACATTAAAAGCTCTTCTCTGTATTATTCTTTTATTAAATGCTTTGTTTCACTGCCTGACTGGTGGAGGGATAATCTAGTTATCAGTCAGTTATCAGAGTGTGTTCACACCGATATAGGATCATTAAAATATCACTCATAAAGAAGCTCTGGCCGTCGGTCAATGTGGTCGAAGATCCCGGATTCAAACCACAATCATCTGTTCCCTGTGGTGGTCCGCCGCCCCGTCAGGTCGTCTCCTGCGCGTCCGAACTGACGGAGAGCCGGTCCGACCGGTCTGCCGTGATCCAGTTTCCAGTCTGTGTGTGGTTTGGTCCCGGTGGTTCACACGGTGGAGGGCTTCATCAGAGCCTGATCCCCAAACAGCTGCTTGAAGTGAACCACATGCTCCTCACAGTGCTCTCCTGGTAACACACACACACACACACACACACACACACACACACACACACAGGTTTGGTCCAATGACTCTGAACAGTGCTTCAATAAAAACGAACTCATAACAACCACATTTTATATTTAATATTCCTCCCACACGTCCTGGAAAACCTGGAAATTTGAAGAATTTAGAGTTTTTTCCATCATAAAAATCCCTGAAATATTGTGTGTTGTCTGGAAATTTGTTGCCCTCAACCTTCCTCTGTGCCACTGTTGTACGTGAGACTCATCCCCACGGTTGGCTGTGGTTTCGGTGTTTTGGCTCACCCGGGTTGAAGTTGGGACTTCCTCTCAGCCGTTGGTTCCTCTGCTGGAACGACCTGAACACGGTGTAGAACAACATCTGGTCTCCGGTCTGCTGCGCTGCGTCCAGAAACTTCCTCGCCGACACGTTGTCGTGGCCGCCTGCTCCCAGTGAAACCGGGTTAGTTCCCCGAGCCTTCCGCGTGTATTTTGGTAGATAAATCAAACATCAACGTACCGACGCTGCGGATGAATCTGAGCGCGCCCAGAACCTGCTGCTTCGACAGCAGAACCTCGACGATCTCGTCGTTGGCCGTGGAGAGACGCTGAAAACACACAACGGCAATTCAAATAATAATTCCACTTCAGTAAAGAGTGGTTCTGTACAGCCGGTGTGTGTTCGATACCTTCAACATGTCCAGTGACAGCTGGTGTGCCGGAGGGTACGTACTCTCCAGGGACAGCAGCAAACAGGCCTGAACCCACAGAAACAAACAAGGGATGTTAACGCTGCAAAAGAAAGCAAATTAAACTCTGAATAGTTGAGTGAAGGTTCAGCTCTTCGTCCCCAATGAGCTCATCACTCCTGTATCTATATCTGTCTTCTTGTCATTATGTAAGAAAACCTTAAAAAGTTTCAGGACTCTAAAGTTGATCTTATGCTGCAGCATATTAAACGTACAATATGTCCTTTCTGTCACCAGATGTTTGATGAAGCAGCGCGGGATCATGGGAGGTTTCTATCCACAGAGGTCTCCTCCTCTCCAACACAAACAGACCGCTGATTAAAACCACTAAACACACTGAATAAAGCAGTTCCACCTTAACAATCACTGCTTCTCCCGCGCTGTTGGACAGACAAAGGACGTCCCGGAGGGGCTGCGAGCCGAGCTGCTGCTAACGTTAGCTCAGCTTGTTTCTCTGATAACTTAAGATCCAGACGTCCGATGACTAAAATCCTTCATCCGGTTCAAATCTAGAGTTAAAAAGCACCAAGATCTAAACAGTGGATGGTAACAATGTGTTAGAATGAGCTGACCAGTGGTTTGGAGTCGCTGAGGACGTGGTACTGCAGGAACTGGTGCAGCATGTAGAAGAGGTTGTGCTGCACCAGCGTCTTAATCACCAGCTCATACAGGTAATGCTGAAAGACACAATGAGAGAGAAGTTGAGCCGGCAGCAATGTGAGGTTTGTCCTGAAGGTGGCAGCAGAGGAGACGGTCAGTCGGTACCTGTACGGTGATCTGGAACTGGTTCAGAGAACGGATGTACTCCATCAGAACCGCAATGATGAACTTATGGGAGACACCCTGCAGACACAGAGCATCATCTTACACATCACTCTTGTTACATAACGGAGCATTTAAAAGCAGATTTCTGTCATTTGGATTTAAAATCACTGTATTTCTTTACTTTTTCTGTCCAAGATTTCATTCAGTGAGCTCAATTATTGTGTTTGTAAAGATCTGGGATCGGTCTCTCTCGCCGTATTAAAACACAAGGTCATCATTTTAACATCGATCCACTCTCAGCTTCATAAGTCAGGTTCCTGTGTGTGTGTGTGTGTGTGTGTGTGTGTGTGTGTGTACCTTCCTCTCGGTGAACGACGACAGGACGTGTGTGTACATGTCTGATTGGTCGATGACCGCCTGAGTTCGGACCGGACGTTTCTGGGCCGCACTGCCTCGACTCGGACCGGACTCCATCGCCTGCACACAGAAAACACTAACATCACATCTCACATAGAAAACATACAAATACACGTGTACAAGATAATATTACTGAGTGCAGGACGCTGACTGACTACAGTACTAGAGGGACGCATCATATCGCCTACTGTACAGATCATATAATAGATATTACAGTTTATAATATTATAATAGAAGAGTTAAATAGACAACAAATAACAGACAGACAGAAATTAGAAGATTTAAAAGGATTAAATGAGGATTACAATAACAGTAAAGTCTCTAAATGATCTGTGTAAGAGTATCACATTGTTCCTAAATACGCGGTTCTGTTCTGACGTGTCACTATGATGATGATGATGATGATGATGATGATGATGATGATGATGAAGAAAAGCGCTGCAGGTTTGTGGCGTTCAGCGAGGACGTCACTCACCACGGTGTAGGTCTGCTCCGCCTCCAGGTATTCTTTATACACCTGGTTGAGCTTGTCGAAGACGGTCGCCACGACGGGAAGACTTCCCTTCTCCCCGCCCTCCAGAACTGAGAGCGAGACAGAAAACGTTTCAGAGATCGGCTTTAAAAGCAGACAGACAGATAATGGCAGACAGACAGGCAGACAGACTTACTCTGTGAGCAGACAGACAGGATGACCATCTTGCAGTCCCTCCGTCGTAACAGGAAGTCCATCAGTTTGCCTTTGTCCTGAAGGAGGTTGACCGTTGGAGGCAACTTCACCTGCAGGTACCACAGGTAACCTGACACACACACACACACACACACACACATTAGTTTAACAACAACAACAACAACAACAACAACAGATCTGTCTCCCACACCTTCACTGGCGCTGATGATGATGTCGGGTTGGAAGACGCTCCAGGAGGAAGAGTCTGAGTGACGGTTAAAGGTGATATTTATCAGATTAATACAATATTATCCATCATATAATCTATCTATTACTGTCCTCAGCATTCACTCATTAATTATTATTATTCTCAGGTTAAATTTAATGTATGGCTACTGTGTTAAAGTATAAAGTATCATCATCATTAATGACTTCATTTAGGCTTCATTAGTCTGTTATTGTTGAATATTTTGTTGTCTACACTTTCCTGTCACTCTACAGCCGTCACTATCGATTAAAGACAATAAAAGCCCAAAAGAAATCATCTTAAAGAGTTTATTTGGACCGAACCCGACTTGTTGGTGGAAGAGTCGAAAGACCAATAAAGATTTACTTTGGTGAGTTTTATTTTGTTACTGCTGAGTTTAACAATCTGAAAGGTAAAAGCCCATAAAACCTGTCTGAGAGGTAAAAGGATACAGAGCTGACAGGGAACAGGAGGCTGAGAGGGAACAACTGCTGGACCTGCAGAGACACAGAACAGAGAATCTAAACACTGTAAATAATCTGTGTGTGTGTGTGTGTGTGTGTGTGTGTGTGTGTGTGTGTGTGTGTGTGTGACCTGACAGCGGTATCCTGTAGGGGTGTATGGAGCGGGCAGGTAGGACAGGTTGGTGTGTGTTGACAGCGCAGTCTGGATCCTTCAGCTTGATGTCGAAGATCAGAGACGTCTGATACACACACACACACACACACACACACACACACGTTATTAAAGTATTTGGGTGAATGTGCCACAGACACACTGAGCCCCCCGTACACACTGTATGTGTATCTAACCTGTGAGCTCTGGTGATGAACCACAACCAGGTTGTCCACGATGTTCAGAGCGAACTTCCCCGTCGTGTTCAGCTTCAACACGTGACTCTTCTTACACGCACCCTCCCTGAACACACACACACACACACACACACACACACACACACACACACACACACACACACACACACACACAGAGCAGTCAGGAGCAGGCAGGTAGACATTGATAGCATTGATTTCTTTTTTAATGACGCAGGTTTACTAACTACTGTTAGTGTGTGTGTGTGTGTGTGTGTGTGTGTGTGTGTGTGTGTGTTTGTGCGTGTGTGTGTGTGTTTGTGCATGTGTGTGTGTGTGTGTACCTCGGTAAGTGATACAGCACCACTTCTGCACTGGGACTGTTGGCTGTTCGTGAGTGATGCTTCAGATACATCACAAACAGCTGACCATAACTATAGAGAGAGAGAGAGAGAGAGAGAGAGAGAGAGAGAGAGAGAGAGAGAGAGAGAGAGAGAGACAGAGGGAGAGAGAGAGAGAGAGGGA